TAAAGCAAATAAGTAAATAAAAAAATATTGCTGCCTTTTAGGGTTTTTTTTATCCTTTATTTAATTCAGGCCTATAGCAGGGGTGCACAACAAATGCTTTCCAAGCCGATGCCAGTCCTAGGTTTTTTTATAATACAGTTTACTTTGAACTGGACATTACCTGATGGCAAATGGGCCATATATTAGCAGCTGAATTTTTAATGGCTTTGAATATTTGATGCATCTAACAGACTAGCTATGAGATAACAGATTGGAAAGTGATCAGCTGCATGAATCATTATAGCAGCCGGTCAGCATTAAGTTTTATAACGGCTATTATATTAAGGCCACAATAGTAAACATAACATTGTATGGTTCTTTGCATATTTCGGAGAAAACTTTTTTGTGCAGTACTATTAATAACAGTATTGTCTGTTTTTAAACTTACCCCAGCTCCCTTTTCACCTGGTGGTCCTTCCTTTCCGGGGTGACCCTAAAAGACAAAGGAAAATAATTATTAAACAGCTATTTCTGACATCAAGTTTATTAGTGAACTGCTAATACTCATAGAAAACAGTGCTAAGAAAGTCCCCTTTTCAATTTTGTTAATGTAAATCTGCCTCTATTTTGCATTCCCTGGTTCTTCCTTAACCCTCCCTCCCCTCATCCACATGCTAATGGCATTTGTAAATAAAACATTTCCGTTTTAATACATACCAATATTGCTATTTTTTGCCCACATTGCTTCTCTATGCAATGCAGACAGATCATGGCTAGTGGGAGTAGTTTACCCCCCCCCATCCACATGCTAATGGTATTTGTAAATAAAACATTTCCATTTTTATTACATACCAGTATTGCTATTCTTTGCCCGCATTGCTTCTCTATGCAAAGCAGGCAGATCATAGCTAGTGGGAGTAGTGGCAGGGTGCTTTACATAATTCCTAAAAACATCACAGCACCTTGCCTAAGTATTCATCTCAAGAGCCCTCAGCCCTGGTGAAAGCAGTGGACTGACTATTGAGAGGAGTTATGCAAATATGCTTTGATGGGTGGAGGTCAGTCATGAGAAATGGGCATTCATGGGCAGACTGCATTTGATTGAAAAACGCCTTAGAAAATGTTCTCAAGAGATGCTGAGCCTGCATGACTGAAATAACTTATATACAATGAATGAAAGGGGCGGGCCAGAGCCACTAAAGCTAGGGAGGACCGTGCTAGATAATGTTGGATGCTGTCCAGCCAAGAAACGACATGGGATTTATCTGACTTGCTGAAGCTTCTAATACACACTGTGAAAACTGTACAGTTTGCAGTAAAATCAGAGTAAGCACTTTTAGTTCAGGGGAGGTGCCTGTACAACTGTGAAAGACTACAGGTAAGGCTGAAATGTAGCTTTTGGTTTTCCTAATGCATCGGTTATCCACTGGAGCCACATACTACAGAGCTCCTCCCATGTGCTGGTGTGTCTACTTCCTAAAACCTGTTCCGTGTTATTTCCTTTCTCTTTGTATACTGCATCACCAATTGATTTTAAATGGGATTGTTGGGAGCTCTTTGCTCTTAATACATTGCTCTTTCTAAGTGTAAAAGACAGCAAGGAGCTTGCAGTGGGTGTATTTGGGAACACCTCCTCTGTATTACAGTTAAGCACTAGGGGTTTCCAGAACACCAGTTTCTGAAGAGACTATGATGGACTCGTGCACTAAAATGCTTGGATCAAAAAGTCAAGAGTAGCTAGAATGTGTTCCCTATGTACATTGTAATGCTTAGTTTTTCATTTTGCCTAGAGTATAACTTTAAAATTATTTTGAGATTTATATGTCCCATGTTCTCCTTTAGAGAATGAAGCAAAGATTACAGTTAAAGATTTATATTAGATGTAATATTAAAATTATGTTCTTAACTTGCTGAGTACTGAGCTAACTGAAGAGAAGTAAACTCCAGCTCAGTGCACACTACATTTATCTCTCCACAGGGCCTTTTTATGACAAATCAGAAAATTGCACAAAAAATTATAGTGCACATTTCGAGATTCTGGTTATATTAATATATAATGGTTTTAGATTGTTTGTGATTAACCCATAAAAACAGATACAGCAACTGGGGCTTGAATCAGAAAAGGTCAATAAACCGATTGTTAATAGCATATTCATTACTGCATTTTTGCTCGTTCTCATTTGATTACTAACTGACACTAAAAATAAAATGCAACATTAAAAAATTTAAAGTGGCAAACTAGGATTAATAAAATATACATTCAAATCCAAAAATGTTTTTTCAAAGAAATATGTTCTACTAATCTCTAAAACAGGCAAATTATTATATATATTGTAGATAACGGGACTTTTTTAATTTCTTAAACAATAAACTTACTTAAACTAAAAAAATAAAACTTACTTAAACTAAAATACTTTGTATTCCGCTACTGATACATAAACTTTCAGCACTGAGAGATCGAGTAGCTTTCAGTGCAAAGCTTCACTTGAAGTGAGAGATAAACATTTATTGGAGCATTGATCCGTGCTTTGATTTATTTTCCATTCATTTTCAGTGGGGCCTCAACTTGCATCCATGGACCAAAACACTTACCCTTATGTCAAATTAAAATAGATTTACACCCTCTCTGAATGGCATTTAGTTTACTAGAGCTCTGTGGATCCTAATGTCATGCCATGCCATTTTTTAAATACTTGTTTCCCCTTTTTATTTTTTGTTGTATCTTAGTGCTCATCAGTCTCTTTGCAGCCATTTTCTATCCCCATACACCCCAGTGACGGCTGACTGGCATTTCTCAGATTGGGTTTCCTGATGGTAAAAAAGTGGGCCATATCTCTGCAATGTGTGTTAAAAGCCACATGCCAGGGTGACAGGAGCACAAATGGCAGGCAAGGGCACAGTCCTGTGACTGTACAACAGTAAGTGCCTAAACAAGGACCTCAGCAGAAAAATTACCAATAATTATGTGAATAAAAGCTTATTATATATTGAAAATGACTTCTGAAGTTACATTGATGTGTTAAAGTTTATGTAAGAGTTTATTGAATGGTTTATTGAAAGAAGACCAACCTTTCCTGTGTGTTAGAACCAGGCCCTTATTGGAGAGAAGGTTCAGAATTCTCCCTACTGTCGGATTATCTTCCATTGCAAGTGGTAGAAATGGATAATATTTTTGTATTTTACTTACTGGGGGTCCATCAGATCCAGGTAATCCAGGCAGACCAGGCTTTCCATGAGGACCCTACAGATAAAAGCAGAGTTATCAAATACCAAATATAAAAAAATCTAATAATTATACATATTACATTATAAGTATACTCATTAGATACATAGAAATTGCAGCAATGAATAATCAACTAATGTATCCTTGTTTATTAAAAGGCTAAGTGAATTGTGATATTGTGTGACCTATACAACTGATTGTCTTAACAATTGTGTCCTTTGAAATATATTAAATAGGTTGGCTTTTAAGCTCCTTAGAAAAGTTGAATAAGTCCAAGTAGACATTCCTTACACCTGATGAGAACTGATGCCCCTACCTAAGGGGTGCATTTATCCAAATAGCTCAATATATAAAAGTCTTAAAGAAGCATTTTCATCAATGCGCTTCTTTAGAGGAATGGTGCCTGCAGATTCTGAAGCTCTGATGTTGTCTTAACCATTCCTGTTAACAGGTGCAATACGCAGGCATTTGAAAGATGGATGAGTCGCAGACAGAGTGGGGCAATCACATCATGGATACTAAGGGCTCTTGTGCACTTGGCATTCATGTACCAAAACCATAGGATGGCCATAGATGGGTAGTTTATTGTCAATTTCAAAGAGAAATCTGCCATCTTGGTCACAATTTGCTTGAATCTGCTGTAATTGTTTTTTTCTGACTTAGAGCAGCTTTTTCCTTTTGGATCAAGAACAGTGAGAGGATCATTCCATTTTCTTTTCGGATAAAGCAATAATCCTTGCTTAGCAGCAGGGGTGATTCACCATTCTGAAATATCTCTTTGATTGGTTGACAAAATGTATCTTTGATTGCTGACAAGAACCTTCTCATATGTTTGTTAGCTTCTGTACTAATCAGTTAACTCTAAGATCAGGTTGTGTTGATATCAACATTTGGTATGTACAAGCCCAATTCCAAAAAAGTTGGGACGCTGTGTAAAATCTACATAAAACAGAATACAATGATTTGCAAATCTCATAAACCCATATTTTATTTGCAATAGAAAACATATTAAATGTTTAAACTGAGAAAATGTACCAATTTTAGAAGAGAAGGTAATTTTGAAATTGATTGCAGCACTTGGGACAGGGTGACAAAAACATGCAAAGTAAGTGGTACTAGCAAGGAAGAGCTGGAAGACCTAATTAGGTTAATTGGCAACAGGTCAGTAAGATGATTGGGTATAAAAAGAGCATCTTAGAGAGTTAGAATAAAAATTGTTGAACAAGTTAAGAATAATGTTCCTCAATGAAAAATTGCAAAGACTTTAAATATAACACTATCCACAGTACATAATATCATCAAAAGATTCAGAGAATCTGGATAAATCTCTGTGCGCAAGGGACAAGGCTGAAATGCAATATTAGATGCCCAGGCTCTTTGGGTCCTCAGACGTCACTGCATTAAAAACAGTAATCATTCTGCGATGGACATCACTGCATGGGCTCACCTTCTCTGGGCCAAAGCTTATTTAAAATGGTCTGTTGCAAAGTGGAAAACTAATCGAAATTTGAAATTCTTTATGGCAACCATGGGAGCCGTGTCCTCCGGACTGAAGAGGAGAGGGTGCTTCTGGCTTATCAGCGCTCACTTCAAAAGTCTGCATCTCTGATGGTATGGAGGTGCATTAGTGTTTATAGAATGGGCAGTTTGCACATCTGGAAAGGCACCATCAATGCCGAAAGATATATCCAGGTTTTAGAGCAGCATATACTCCCATCCAGATGATGTCTTTTTCAGGGAAGGCCTTCCATATTTGAGCAGGACAATGCTATACCGTATACTGCATCTATGACAACAGCATGGCTTCATGGTAGAAGAGTCCGGGTGCTTAACTGGTCTGCCTGCAGTCCACACCTTTCACCAATTGAAAATATATGGCACATCTTGAAACGAAAATTATGACAAAGAACACCCAAGACTATTGAGCAGTCAGAATCTTATATCAGGCAAGAATGGGCCAACATTCCTCTCTTAAAACTCCAGCAACTGGTCTCCTCAGTTTCCAGACATTTACAGAGTGTTGTTAAAAGAAGAGGGGATGCTACACCCTGGTAAACATGGCCCTTTCTCAGTTTTCTTGAGAAATGTTGCTGCCATCAATTTCAAAATGACCTTATTTTTTTCTTAAAATGGTAATTTTCTCAGTTTAAACATTTGCTATGTTTTCTTTTTTTCTATTGTGAATAAAATATGGGTTTATGAGATTTGCAAATCATTACATTCTGTTTTTATTTAGATTTTACACAGCATCCCATTTGTTTTGGAATTGTGGTTGTATATGATTGCCACTAAACAAAATGGAATGGACAGATTCAGATATGCTACCCTTAGCTTGAGTCTCTAAACAAATGCAAGTATTTGTTCACACAACATTGTTTCTGAATGATCAAATGATTCGAATTTAGTTTTCACATGCAAAAATCAATACGATCATTAAGGGTTTGAATACTCCATGCCCGTTGAGCTGCATTTTTCTGCACACCACCACACATGTATGATGTGAACAGGGCACATAGAAAACAATTGTTTTCTATGTGCCCTGTTTTCATTATACATGTGTGGTGGTGTGCAGAAAAATGTAGCTCATTGGACATGGTGTATTCAAGCCCTGTAATCTTATTTTAAGCAAGTACCTCTTGATATGAAAGGTAAGTTATAAAAAAAAAATCAGATTACTGGTGGTACTATGGTCAGGTTTACATTTAAATATGTGTCTATTTTAAACAGTAAAAAAAAAAATATAATTATCAAAATAAAAAAAAACATTATTTTTCTACCAAGGGCACACAAACTTTCATCATCAACTTTCTGGACATACAGAGAGCCCATACTGTACTTTTTTTACATCTTCCAAAAATTGCCATAGAAAAAAAGGTGAGGCAAATTCCTAGTTACATCCCTGACTATATTACCATATTCAGTATAACATATAAAGCAAGATTATAGGTAAATTAAGTTTAAAAGCATATTTTGATGCATATTTATATTTTCTGCACATGTGATAATGAATATAGGTAGCAAAAACATTTCCTTTCAGGTCCTTAATATTTGGTTTCCCAGTTTCAATAAACAAACCAGACTTTGACCCTACCTTATCGCCAGGGGGACCGATGGGGCCTTGGGGACCAGGAAGACCCTGCAAAGAAAGAAAACATTATATATCAGGATCTCATTTATCACTGTGAGCTGAGAACAGACCTGCACTTCATAACATAGCTACACTGTGCAACATTCCTGAAGCCACACTCAGCAGCCAGGAGTCAGCTGTACAAACCCTCATTATTCTCACGTTTACTCCTGAAGTCTCCTCACTGGGAAGGTGCTCTCTCAGTAATGAAATTTGTTTCAAATGTTTATCTCTACAAGGAAACAATTTATTACCAATCACTAAAGACTGATAATAAACCAACTTAAATTAATCCTTTGTTAAAAACTTTAATCTGTGCTGTTTTTTTATTATAATGTATAAATACATATATCAACCAATATATGGATGTTAAAGGTATTGCTAATCAGTCTGCGCTAGAATATGGAAATGTTTATTTGAATTGTGTCAATATACACATAATATTGTTTTCATTCGGATTAAAAAAAAAAAAACTTTTTATCCCAAAAGCAGTGCAAAGAACGCTGCTGGCCTGTAATGCAGCAATTAATAGCAACCAGATTTCAGTTTTCTGTAGCCAGTTTTTATGGAAATGTTTTGGTTTAAAGGGCATGTAATAGAGGGAAGTTTATCTTATTTTCAGGCTTCCTCCAGGCAGGCTGTGGTAATCTCGACAGGTACCAGAAAGTGGCTCCACTACTTCAGTATATGCCCAGCCAAAACTTCATTTTTAGTTTATTGCTGTTTATGTTCCACTTGCAGATTTTCCCTCACTTCCTGTCTGGTGGTACTTTTGTCACTGTGATAGTAAGTCAGAAGAAATCTGTCTAACAGACCACCTGGTAACAGTAAAAATGCAACAGCGGTTCTAATCCTTTTCCACTCTATCCAAGATTGAAAATGGATTAACTGGATATACACTTAATGATTATTGGTAATTAAATGTTAGTGTTTTCTGTCAATCAGGTAGTATATCTTGGAAAGTTAAAGAATATTAAAAGAGAAATGTCATCTAATTTTAGTAAATTTTTATCTGCACTATTCTTTTTACCACATCAGTGTAATAGATAGATATTGCATTCTCATCTGAAAAGGTTATTAAAATGTATGTGGATTAGTTTATTCTGTCTTAGCTTGCAAACTCTACCATGCAAACCCTTACGGTTTCCTAGCTCAGTCTAGAAGGGGAGAAGAACTGATCTTTCGCTGTTGCATTTTCAGTTGTTTCTAAAGTTCTCTCCCCACCCTGTGATTGGACAGTGAAAGGATAATCAGCACACCAATGAGCTCTCTGTCACTCTGCTACCTCTTCCTATGTGATGCAGTGACCCTTGCACTATATCACACCTGATTGGCTTCTTGTGCGGATTCTCCCTACCCTTTCTGAGCTCCACTGTACAGGCTGTACAGTAGACTACAATTGGCCAAGTCAAATTCAGGTGCTTACACTGCTTGAAAAAAAAAATCTAAATATAAAGTATATTTAATTGTGTGTTAATGATTACAGAGTGGAATTGATTAGGCCTTTTTAATATCTGTCTGGAGTTCAGTTTAAGGTTTGAAAAGGGTTGGGTAAAGGATGTAATATTGTTTAAAATGTTAACAACAAATTAGAACAAGTGCTGCTTAATATGGCTGGAGGTGTAATTAAGCAAAGGAGCAACTTGTTTTATTTCCAGAAGGCATTTTTCCTGTTTGTATAAAGAATGATATACACTAGTATAACTCATATTTGTTTTTGAAAATTTGCATACTTATTTTAGACCAAGACTTCAGTGACTGAAGGACCCCACAGGTATGGCAATTAAGTGTACTTTTATTACACATACCTGTGTTCCTGGAATTCCTTGTTGACCAGCTGGGCCAGGTTCTCCTTGAGGGCCCTAAAGAAAAAAACACAGCAAGTAGGTAATAAATAAGACAATGAAGGTATAGGGTTTTTATTTTCACAGCATGAAGAGATTCTACCACAGCAATTTAGCATTCATCCATAAGAATAATTTAAGCAGAAAAGTAACAAGTCAACCTTGAATAAATCATTAGCAAAACACTGAGAAGCAGAAATGGTACTGCAATTAGATGAGAAATATTGATGAAAAAATTGATCTTCTTATTAGTCAATTTAGATTTTCCTCCTTTTCTTTGTTCACAACAGTGTTCATAAACATAACCAGTGTGCCTCAACAATACAGCCATTCTATACACTGTGAGATTGATGTGTTAATAGGAGTATTTAACACACAGTGAAATTGCATGACGACCATCACCAACGGTCATTTATGGCTGTGTATATTTTCAGTATAAATGGATTGCTATCTTATTCTGCAGGTGAGGCCCTGCAAATATAGAAAAATGCTTATTAACACTCAGTATACCAAATAATAAGATACAGTTTGAAGTCACAATATACTGTATCTGATATTGGATTGGTTATACACTGTGAAATACGTCTTTCAAACACCTATAGTGTTTTACCCTATAGTGTACCCTGTAGTTTTACGCTATAATCTATAGTGTAGATCAATTTTGATGTTTTTTTTTCATCTATTCAGGACTTCACAGCATGTTTTGCTTTGAAATAATGTGCTAATGCATGACATGGGGGCTTAAAATACTTCTTGGTGGTTAATGCAAGGTTTTCATGCAATCTGTGAGTATATGTGGGCAAAAGTTAAATTTCTTTAAAAAAACAAAGATGCTGATGGTTAACGTCCGGGTTCTTCTCTATAACATGCTCACTTTAAAGCCATATGGGTGTATCAAACTCCCTCTGCTAGACTTTTTATGAATTAAAATTAATGAATTGAGGAGTGGAAGGAGAGGAGGGGAGAAGAGAGGAGGGGAAGGAAGTGGAGGGGAGAGAAGAGGAACGCACAGGAGAAGAGGTAAGAGGAGGAGAGTGCAAGAGAGAAGGGGAAATGAAAGGAGAGGAGTAGAGGAGAGGAGGGAAGGAGAGGAGAGGATATTATGTTGAGGGATGACAGAATCTCTAACTAGCTTGCATATATTAGAAAGCTACAGTATCGTAAACTTGTTATAAGTGAAAAATAGAGTTTGCTATTGTGGGCCTCCTTTACAAAATGTTAGCTGGCTAGCTGCTATTCAGATTTATTGCCTTTAATAATTCTGAGTCACCAATCTGGAACAAGTATAAAGATACTAGAAAATCAGAGAAAATACAGACATCCTTATCATCATACTTGTTCTAGTTCAGTAATTCAAGTATTGAATCCAGAGGGTCCATATGAGAGCCAGACAGGTAGCATTTTAAAAGGCAGGAACGAGCAATGGAAGCTTCCATGTTTCTCTTATGAAAGTTTTTTTAAGTCACAAGAAACATAGATAAGATTGCTAGTTCAAAGGCAAAATTAAACTTATAACATTACAGCGGTATAATATAACAAAAAACATATAAACAAAAATTATAATAATTTTCATAACATCATCCCATTAGGTACACACAAATGATAGGCACTCTATGGACATCAAAGAAGAATAATGAAGGACAGGTGTATGTAAAGCAATTTAATTAACAAGTATAATCATGTTGCATTTAACTGTAGAAAATAAAAGCTAGATTGTGATGGAACATGCTTTTTATGAAAGCACTCAACCTGTTTAACCCATATAAAAATCTCTGTATCTGTATTAAAAATTACAGCATAATGATCTTAAGAGCAGGAAAATAACTCCTAAAATTAAACAAAATTAAGCTTCAGATAATGCTGCAGTTTATTTCCCAATTTACAGACAACTGATTATTTGATGAATGTTTACTGACTACTTAACTGAGTCATAGTCAATTCAGCTGGTCCATTAGCATTGTCCATTTTGTTCAATGCAGTATTATTTTGGAGTTTTCTAAAAGTTGTTGCTATATATAAGGACTTTCATGACAAATGCCGACATTTTTAAACTGCGGCAATCAATTTCAGCACAACTCTAAATTAGGAGGGAGACATCTTTTTCTTCTGAATTATAATGTAGTTTAAACTGTACATTTGTGTAAATGCATCTATGGCCTTGGTTCTCAACTGGTGGGTCGTGATCAAAAGTAGGTCGCGACCCTGTGTTGAGTGGGTCACAGTGTGCCTTCCACTTTTCTAGGTGAGAGGCTCCTCAGCCTCCCCCTAGCGCAGCACTGTCAGTTCTTGTGCCAAGCAGCCATTCAAAATATGCTGCCTGGTGCTGAGTGTCAGATTGAGGTAGGGTGGGCTCCATCCATATATGCATTGCTTACAGCTCCCTTGCATGTCCTATAGAGGTGCCTGGACTGGTGTGATGTAACATACTGGCTCTCGGCACCTCTACAGGGTGTGCAAGGGAGCTGTACAAGCACTGCAGATATGGATGGAGCTTCATCACAGTACAGCAGCCCACACCGGACCCCAGGCTAAGGATCCACTCCAGTTCTCATAAGATAGGGAGACTGTGTGGATCTTAAAAAAAAGAACAAAAATTATTATTTTTTGGAGTGTGTATGTGTGTGTGTGCGCGAGATTGTGCCTGTGGTTGTGTGTGTTTGAGGGCCCATTCACACTAGTACAGTGCGTTAATCGCACAGACACATGGGATTAACGTACTGTACTTCGCAATCGCACCTACCACGTTTTGGTGTGAGAAGTGCATTGCATTGCCATTCATTTGAATGGCAACCCAATTGCACCTCCCACCCACAGTTCTATTGCCCACATCGGAATGTGCAGTACCGCAATGCCGTGCATTTCATTGCAGTGCAACTTGGGTCACGACTTAATGGCCAAGGACAAATGTGGGTCCCTGGCCAAGGTTACACAGGTTGAGATCCACTGATCTATGGTATCTTGTCTGCAAATGAAAAATGAAAGTAAAGGTTTCAAAATATTTTTTTGGGGAGAGCATACAGCTAGTTTAAATTGATATATTGTCATTGGTATCTTGTCTGCAAATGAAAAATAAAAGTAAAGTAAAGAAATATTTTTTTTTGGGAGAGGATATAGATAGGTTCTATATAGTTGCATTTAGACAGATCTGAACATAAAGTTCTTGTCTGAGATTAAGTTATAGAATTTATTTACATTATTTTACTACTGAAATTAGTGTGACATTACTTTTGCATGAGCTCCCGCATTAAGAATGATTAGAATAGATTATTATTATTAATAATAATAATAATAAAAAACAGTAAATCCAAATGCCTAGATAATGATAAGACTGCATGTAAAAGGATAACTGTACTTTTAAATCACAATAACCTGTTTAATATAACCAGTGATACTAAACAGATTTGCAAATATAACCTCTTCATATTTTTTAATGTGTTTTGAATGGTGCCATCACAGGACCAGGCCAGTGTTAACATTGTATCATTTAAATACAGTATGTCTGTGGTCTGCACTGTAACTGCAGACCATGACTGAGAACAACAAATAATGCATCTCCTTCACATACAAGTCTGATTCAATTGTGTTTTTTTACTCAAGTAGTAGACATGTCAGCTTAGTAAATAAGAAAAAGCAATATAACTTTGCACACCCAATCTTGTGCATAGAGAACAAACAGGATTTCTGCTTGAACATGATTAAATGATTGAGGTGTATTCTTTGATAAGTCAACATCCTCTACTTCTTCAGTAAATAAGTCTTTTACAAAGCCTGAAGCTGTAATAAATAATTTTTATGCTGCACATTACTCATGAACACACTGGAGAAACAGATACAAATTACTAGAATCAGATATTCCCTACAAAAGTTTAGCTGCCAAGTAGAGAGCAAGGAGAAAATTAGGAAGGCAGCAGGGATACCTCTATATTTACATCCTGCTTTTCACAATATGCTGGCCAAAGTCACATATTATGGGTCAATGTGCAGGAATAGCTAAACTTATGCAGGGACTGCCTTCTTTAAGCAAATCCTGGTTACATATTGGTCTCAAAACTTTAAAGTGGAGGCTGCATATAGGCTGAATGTAAGTGCAATGTTTACATTAGTCTGGACCAGTGATAACAGCTTCCAAAACACAAGGAAAGGAAAACGCAGAGAAAAAAAATATTTGCAAATAAGTATCTATATATCAATATACTAGAAGAGCATATGTGCTTAAAAGAACCGCCTTTAAGAGACGTTATTGTTTCCAATGCATACAACTAGTTTAAATGGATATATTGTCATTTCACCCTATGAGAAGTCCCAGCCCGTATGAGAAGTGATTATACTATACTAAATATTTTTTGCAGTATGATTCCATACACCTACACCTACAGCTACGATGAGTTTGTCACATTAAACAATGCACCTGCACACTTCCATCTTATAATACAGTGGTATTCAATGTGTCAAGGATTATATCTGACATCAGAAATATACAACACACAACATACAAATATACTAGCTACCTTGTGTATAAAGAAGGAGGTACAAAAAAGATACTTACCAAGTTACCTTTAGGTCCTGGGGGTCCATCTACACCAGCAACACCCTGATGGAAGAAATATACATTTTAACCAGCATAGTTTATATACATTTAAAGTTAATTACTATTTATTCCTGCCATCCCTACAGACGGTATGGATAATGGCAAAATAAAAAATGGTAAGTCAGTGGATTTTTTTAAACAATGCATTTTAAATTATGCCATTTACTTAACATAGCATTCAAGGAATGGTTGAGTGTAACCTTCACATTTAAAAGCCCATCTTCAACCAAACCAATTTATCTAATTTTGGATAGAGTACAGTAGGTAAAGGTCAGAGCCTCTGTCATGTTTTATTGCCCCCTGTGTCCTTATTGGGGAGATTTCCCCATACTTCCTGTCAGGATAGGGATCATAGGAAATATCTCCAAAAGGAACAGATACAATAAAACAAATCACAATTTTGCACTTACCGTAAAATCTTTTTCTTGCAATGCAATAAAGGACATTGTCTATGGCATGCGGATTATATTGCCACCTACAGATGGTAGGGATAATGGCAAAATAAAAAATGGTAAGTCAGTCCCCAGTAACCCTGCCTCTAACCATAATGCCTCAATTTGCGAGCAGGCATTACATAACACAAAAATAGGGTTGGGACCTGTGTCCCTCAAAGGTTTCTATGAAAATGATTTTAAGGTAAAAACAAAAATCTTGTTTTCTTTATCATCCATTTAGGTACGCAGGAAGAATAGTCTATGACATATGGGATGTCCAAAAACAGTCTAACTTTGGTGGACACAGCCACTAGGAAAAAAAGGACAACCATGCATCCACCTTAAAGGAACTACATATGTAATAAAAGTAAACAGAGAAGTTGGTCAAAGTTGGCCTAGTATACCAACCCCTTGTTTTCGGAGAAAAGGACAGACAAAATATGTCCATAAAAAAACAACTGACTGGTTAGCTGTCAGAAAGGTAGATAATGTATATAGTATTTATGTAGATTGTATGAATAGCATCTATAAACTGAGGCATGAGTGTTGGAGGTGGAGATATATGGGGGCTGGCTTAACATTTTTTTGCTTTGCCAGTGTCAATACCTCCTGTATATGGCAGTATAACCCACATGTTATAGACTATTCTTCACTCCTCTGTCCCTCCATGGGCAATAAAGAAAGCAGATTGTGGACTGGTTAGAATTCCTAAAAATATTTTTATTTCACTTTGTCTTCCTGTTTCTATGAAAACTCCATCACCAATTTTCTTTATGGGTACCACAGGAACAGGAAGTTAGGGAAAATCTCCCACTGGGGTGATGGTCAGAAATAAAAACTTGGTAGAAATTTGAGCTCTTTACCACTATCCAAAACAAATGTAAAAATGTAGGCATTAAACACATTACATGCTTGTAATCATCCATTTACTGTTTTTGTACGGCCTTTTAGTGCAATAGCACATTACCAGAACAATCTTTCATAATCTTCATTAGCTGAGCCTAATTGTCTTCCACACCCCTCTCGCTTAGTATACTAGAAGGTTTACTAGTTTGCTCAGTACTTGGTACCTTAAGCTTAATCACGGCAAAGATGAGCAAATTATGTTACCTCCTTCACTATAAACCTGCTCACTGACATCCCTTCAACTGCATAAGGTACTGTCATTTTATCCACCTCACAACCTAACCTTGAGCCCATCCTTGACTTGGCCTTATCCTTGACGCATTACATTCAAAGCAAACTCTAAGTATTGCAATTCCAAATTCTCTACATCTTCAAATTGCACCCCTTTCTAACCCAAAAATGGTTTTAGCCTACATCTTCAGAATTAACTGAACATAATCTTCTCTGGGTTGACTTTCATCTTTTACACTCCATCATAAATGCTTCTGCAATACTTATCTAAGCCTTCCAAAGCTCTTCATCTGTTGCAACTCTCTGCCAGTCAATGTATGAATACAATTCAAGTAACTATGCCTTGCCTTCAAAACACTTAACACTAAAGTGCCAACTATATCTCTGATCACATCCACAAATACTCCATTAGCAGAAAACATTTTTAATTTTAGCATCATATTATTAACCATTTACGTACATGTTGTCCTGGAGGGCCAGGGGAACCTCTTGGACCCAACAATCCTCGCTCACCCTGAAAAAAAGAAAGTAAATCTTTAAAAAAAAAAGACATGAAATTTAATCAGTTTTGTAAGAACCATCATAGGAATAACTTTATTGGGATTCCTGTACTAAGATAATATAGTAGCTGGTATTAATACAGTCTCCTGAAAGACTGACACTTGGATGTCATGCTAATCCAATGGCTTCAATACTTTCTGAAGCACAAACCTGAAACAATCATGCAAATCAGGAGTTCTGTTTCACTGTGCCTTTCTAATCTATATGCCTGTAATTGGTCAGAGAACCAGTAAGTATTAAATCTAAAGACAGTCAGTCAACCACTCATTTTGAAAGAGGTCGGAAATAAGAGCCTTCTCTTATTAGATTCTTCCTTTAATCTAACGTAATGAATGTCATAGAGAATTTACAGCAAAGGGCAATACCACATTAGAGAATGCACTCAGATATTTTTCAGCGAAAACCAAAATATGCTTGCCCTATGGAAAATATAAAAGCTATTAACAGTGGCTATTTGGAGACATGCTCTTCCCTGTCATATGTATGTAATCTTGCAAACATCTGTGCATGTGTACTGCAGGGTGCTTTATAAAATGGCTTGATGCATTTATTTGGTGGGTACCTTACATTGAGACTCCAATTATTAGCCTGTCATTATCAAGGGACCCCAAGATATATGACTCCTAATAAAACCCACAAGAACATGAGGGCCACATTTTGGGGTCCTAACCCATGAATCATGTAGTACTCATCCCCGGGGGATAGCTTTCACTGTATTTGTTACAAGCTGACAACCATAGTGTTCTCGATGAACATAAGTGACTAGACTGCACATTTTTTCAATTTGTCTGGAAAGCTTTGATATACTTTTTACAAATATCTAGCTGCCTGCACAAGCTTAAAATGTTTTTTTAATAATTTTACTGTCAGATCTCTCGAAATGGATCTGAAGATACAAAAGCAATCAGTGTCATTCATATGATGAAAATATACCTGTGAGAATATTTGGAATCCAGAGGATATTTTTTTTCACATGATGAGACATTACTTTTTTAAACTTCAAAGAGTTAGATAACATACCATAAGCCAGCATTTAAAGTATTTTCCTATTGTATGGCTCAGAAAAAAAATAGCATGGATCTGTAGCATATTATATAATGAAAACTGCTAAACGATCTCTGTGTAAATATGTCAATAGTAAAGAAGTCTGCTAAAAGTAAAGGGGATGATTCAGATAACCCCTTGTTTCAGAATATGGGGTTTTATTCATGGTTACCCATTGGTAATGGAGTGTTAAAAATCTAATTATATAAAACCACTAACATATACAACAAAGATGATAATTTTGTGGCAAACAAATAATTAAACAATACATGTGGTGCAATTTCTTTCAAATCACTGGAAGTTAAGATATCTCAAAAGCTTATTCCATCCGTTGTGTTAATACCAAATGATCTAAAGTATTGTTGATGGAAGGCACATCAAATGTCTCCAGGAGACAAAAAAACGTATCTAAAAATGAAAATACCAATGTACAAAGTACAGTAACCCCTAGCAACCAACCAAAAAAACCCTTTGGTTATCCTGAGAATTTTAAACCAAATCAAGGTTAAATCTGACTGGTTGATGGGGCTAGTAGGTTACAAATTTCCATTTTTCTTTATATTGCTGTTCTAAGCATAACAATGAGCCCTCTGACAGCATAAGGGTTATAATGGAGGTTTGAATGATTCCCCCACCAGAAACGCTGCTGCATGTTACACCAAGTTAGTTGTGAAAATGTAAAGCTATAAAGTGAGAGTTCTGTGTACAACAGATTAATGTGTCACTCACAGGTTCACCGGGCAGCCCTCTGGGTCCAACCTCTCCATCTTCTCCCTGTTACACAAAAGAAAAAGCTGTTTCTACTGTTATTAAAACACACAGCACGTAAAAGCAGGACAGGCGATGAATGCGCGTGTTTGTCAAATTGTAAAATATATATAGTAGTATATAACCTTTTCCAAGAAGGTCAGAAAAAGGCTAATTTAAGAAGCAAGCCTAGGAACTAATGTTAACATGCTAGCTCGATGGGAAGAGATTACCTATTGTTATCTGCACAGATATACTAGTAGGCCGTCTATAACAATATGATGTGCTATGTTGGCTATTTGAAATTGTTTGTGGTTGGCTATTTAATATGTGCCTGTATAAAATTTCTAATTTTATATGTATGTGAGGGCAGCCATGTTTCTCTTAAGTTCTTTTTTCTTCTAATCCTCTTATTTTAATGACATGAAACACCCATAATGCCCCTGGTGGCCAGAGACCATTGAGTCTATTCATGAAGCAGCCGAAGGATCTAGCCGTAGCTTCGGCCGATCCTTCGGCTAGCTTCGGCCCCAGGACCCCTTCGGTTCAGTAGAACCGAAAGGCTGTTGTACGGGCTTTCCGCCAAGGAGAGAAACACTGCTTTTTCGTTTTTTTTCTTTATTCTGACACGGACAATGTCAGAATAGAAAAAAAAAAAATTTGGCCATAGGAATGCATTGCTAGATTCCTATTGGCTATTTCAATTTGCAATAGCCAATAGCAAACTAGCATTGCACCCGCCCTCTGCTGCAGTTCTCCATCAGGTCCACAACTATCGATTGAGGGCGGGCACAATAGCTAGTTTGCCAGATGTTGGATCGGCTGAGTCGAACTCCTTCTGCACTTCGGTTTGGCCCGACCCGAAGCCACCCGATGTACGGCTGAGTTCGGCTCACTTCGCTTTAGGCCGGTCATTCACTCGGCTGCCTACGGCAGCTTAGTGAATAGACCCCCATGTCTTTGCCCAGGCTTCCGGTCAATTGAGAGAAACTGGAAGCAGTGTTTCTGTTACTAATAGCAAGTTTAAGGTACTTTTCAGCTGAATAAATGTTTGGTAATGCTGACATGTGCCCTTCTTACATGATATTTTAATTTTAAAAATCCACCTTAAGAAACATGGAGATCTGATCAACAGGAAACTTGGATAATCATAATGATTGGGACTATTTGCTAAAATTAAGCACACTTATAACTAACCAGTGGCTTCAGACACTTTTTGACAGTGATCATTTGCCATACAAATTTTCAATCAAGCAGGTCAACATTTGGCTGTTTTTAAAACAGGTGATTGATATTCATGTAGTTAATATTGTACATGCATTGTAAGCTGAGTAAAAACTGGATGGTACATATATCTCTTTCACCTTTTATGCTAGTTATTAACTTCTGCTTTCTTAATTCTATTCACAGTCTTACAGAACCTATTCAAAATAAGCTTATGACCTACAATAAAGGAACTGAAACACTACCAATGGCACATCTACTTGTTGTAATCTGTTGCACTCCATAGATGTTAGTGCCTTATAGTCATCAGGTTGCTGTAGTGAACTGAAGGAATGGTACTGTCCATTATCCAGACATAGAAACATTTTGAGCAGCACACAGTGAGAGGGATACCACTGAGGCCCTGTGTGGCTTCAGAATGTTGACCGGTAATATTCTTCTCACTGATGTCTGAACAATAATAAAATGTTGAAATGGTAAAATATGATCTATATTTTTAAAGTCAAATGAGCCTGTGAACTATACTGTCAGTGGCTTAGCTATCTGACACACACAAAAGGGATACCCTGTTCCTTCAGGTTGGGCAATAGATTAAAAACCCCATCCTATAAAAAAAGTAATTGTTGCAGTAGCCTAAAACTACGGTCATTTATAAGGCTAGAGAAGTTTTAATATTTAATACTGAAACAAATACTCAGCAAGTTGATAGTTTAACTTAAATAACTTATTATTTTATATTTGTTCCATTATTCTTGACCATGTTTCCTTTGGATACATAATAATGGAGTCATTTAGCATAATGTATGGGTTTACTGTCACTATAAAGCATTTTGGACTTAATGAAGGTAAGACCTGTTGAAAGAACAATTAATAACTTTATCTCGTTTTCCTATAAAATGAGAGGAAGTAATGTGCACCCTGATGTCTGACATACTAAAAAATATTTTGGGTATGTGCAGCCTTGTTACAATATTTAGCAGCAATCCGTACACCGAATTGGTAAGGATCCTTTTTATATCAAGAAAGCTTGTTTTTTTTTTTAAAGGAACGGAAATCCATGTGTCTGCTTGTTTAGATAGTAGTTAACAAAGGTAATTTGTTTCCCCATACTATAATGACCTCGAGTTATGATATGTGCATACTTTAGATGCAAACAGACTGTAATAGATTTACAGCACTAATGTTGATGGATTTAAATGAGTGATTAGATAAAGGGAATGTTTCTGTGCAAAACAGAAACCTACAGAACTGGCTGATGTAGTTACAATGTATGTGTCTTTGTATGTGTATGTATCTTCCTCTGGACCAAAACGTTTAGAGTTGTGAGAGGCTGCACTTGATGGAAATCATTCTTTTTCAAATGATCAACTATGCAACTTTGTTTACTAGGCATTTTCTTCCTGCAGCATGTGTTTATTGGTCATAACAGGTGTTGTCCCTGACTTGCTTTTCTATGTCTTTTAGTGCTACTTGTTGTGACAGATGCCATACTTCCTAAGTTTATGACATCCCGAGTGTGCATCATCCTATGATTGGATAGAACATATCTAGGTCTTAACAAGGAACTGGTCCATATCATTATCATACCTAGGCCTGCCATAGTAAAACAATACAATTAGCACTTCAGAAAGACTGTTGTTATCATATTAACATATTATTGAAGACTAGGGACTTCCACTGATAGAATGAAAAATCCAAAGAAAGGTAAAAACAAGAGTGTTAGTGCTCACACAGTTGTCACGGAATTGTGTACAAATCACTACACTTAGAAAATGAACTGTACAGTCTGTTTAATGAACAAAGTTGGACTGGTAAAGTGATAAAAAGCACATGGCTAAATTAGTTACCCTGTCTCCATCTTCACCAGGTGGGCCAGGTGGGCCTAGAGGACCTTTATCCCCCTACAAAACAAACAAAGTTAATAAGAAACCCCTCAGCAGACTTAGTGAAACAAAAAGTACTAAATAATATTAATTTGATTTTATTATGTTGTTACTTGATGTTTACACCTAAAAGGAAACATGAATATAAAATGATCATCACCCAATCCCGTTGACTTCAGCAAGATCAGACAATGATTAGAATGGGTACTGTCTGATCTCAGTATACACTCCTGGACAATAAACCTCAATAAAAAGGTAAGGTCACCTGTTTTTTCCAGCCCACAAACAGCCTGGTCATTTGACATAAGGCTAATGATGTGGGGTGTCTGCTGAACACACATAAATGCATGTGTGACGGTGTGGCTGTTATGTGGACAAGGAATTATTGATGGTAAGATCATTTCCTGAAGTCCAACTGGCATGTAACAATAATAACAGTAAATAAATACATTACCTCAAGTCATTTATCCTTATTACTGAGGAAATTGTCACACCACAGCATTTATCAGTGCATGGTATACAATACAAATGTATTGGAAATAATAATAATTACTATTATTATTATTACCATTATTCAATATCACTAAGTTGAACGTCAAATGCCTGGGGCAATCCCTAATTCGGCTCTTATTTGGCAACCCATTTTTCATAGCAGGCAGGTTGCTGACACATACTTCTGTGTAACTGTGGTGGCATTTTAAGATGTAATAAAGCTGTTGCAAGGGTAAACAGTTCTGCATAGAAGAGCTGCTGAATTTCTTTAAAGATCCATTGATTTCACATCTTTATATCCAAATTGTATAACTGACTTGCCACAAATCAGTCAGTTTCTTACAATGAAGACAGCAGAATCTTATTGAGTAAGGCTGGCCATACATTGCTCTATTTTCTCGTTGAACCTGCAGGCTGTACGAAAAAAAAAATAGAGCAGATTCTGCACACTACAAGTGTGTCGATCGAGGAATCCCTGCTGTTTGCATTGTATTCTAACAGTGGCCACCTGCCACTGTCAGAATACCCGTACAGAGCCAGCATCTCATTGGCTGCCCACTTTGTTCCTACGAAGATTTTCCTGCCAGCTTCTTCATTTGGCTGATCGAGGGATGCTGGCCAAAAGGGTGCAGACAGCTGCACCCACTGTGCGAATTTCAGCCAGTTCCTCAAGAACCGGCCAAAACTAGCACAGTGTATGTCTCAGGAATCCAGTCCTGCAGTCAAAGAAATCTTTCATTCTGTTATCTTGGAAGATGCTCATAATGGATGCCAGCCTGACAAGATCAAAAGGAGCTCTAGACACCATGTCAGTACAGCAGACTTGGTTGACAAAGGAATCTTGTCTCTCAATGAACCTTTTTTGAGCTACAAGTGATTTAGAATTCATTAAGGGAAACTGGTTCCACCCATCTGTGTTTGTGATCTATTCCTAAGTGCTGGTTTTCTACAAAACTGAATCATGATGGCATTGGGAAGGGTTATACCTGGCTGGCACATGTCTTATTTGTTTGATAGTGTCCAATTTCTCCTGAAGGTGGCAGTATAACTTAATTGAAATAATCTCTACTGACCCTGTGTCCCTTAATGAACTTCAAAAACAAATTTTACAATTGGTACAGAAATTCTATTATTTAAACTTTTTATTTTCTTTAAATCTGTATTCAAACAGAATTTGTTAATAGGAATACATATTTTCCCATAAACATGTTTCTAAAAATGTGTGTTGTGTGCGCTGAAAAAAGGTAGGACATGTTGGGTTTTTATGCGGAGCTTTTTAATGCACCACAGCGCATAAGAATCACAAAGCAAATGTAAAAAAGCACACAAAAAAAGCACTGCATTGCATTAGCAACGCATTGCAGTGCACATCCACATTGCACACTAGTGTACATGTGGTATGTGCTAAATGTTTTGTGCATGTGGTTTGAAAGAGCCCTTAAAGAAAGGTAAAGTAGGTTTCTTTGTCTGTCTCATATTTATTAGATTTTGCAAAATATATAATGTAATCAGCAATAGGAGAACAAAGTAGAGAGCACCCACTGCTGGAGCAACACTAGAAATATACATTTCTTCTACAAAATATTTTCTTCAATACCAGGGTTTTATTTCACCCCGAGGATTGACTTACCCTGTGACCTTTCTCACCGGGAAGACCTGGAAGACCGTCAAAACCTCTGTCACCCTAAAAAATATAAGTTTGAAGTAAGAAGTCATTGCTGAGAACCATCAATATCTTATCTACATAAGTCTTTTAAATGGCTAAATATAACTCAATTACTCTATATAACTAGTTTAAAAAAACCTGAAAAACTATATTTCCCCCCCCAAAAGCATGAAAGAAATAGTGAATACTATACCTTTGAACCAGGTTCTCCAGGCATTCCACGTGCTCCATCAGCTCCAGGACGTCCCTGAAATTGGACATGTCATATTAATAGATAGCAAAACCTATACTGTATGCCTTGCACAGCATAGCATTACTAATAACTTTACCAGAAGCTTGCTGATTCCCAACGGAGGAAGCAAAGAGAAAATGTGTAACTAATAAAGTGTAATTACAACATTTAAGATGTTGAAAGTTAAACTAAGCAGAGGCGGCTATATAATTTTTTTCTTGCATCCTGCTGTAATTACATTAAAAATACAGCCTTGCAGAATGCTGTACCTTGTTAGTCTTAACATGATTTAAAATGCAAACTAAAACATTTGGTTTCCTCTTCAGGTTTACTAAAGAACTAACTAGTACTAGGAAATCTACATGTTCTGAAAACCTGCATTTAAAATCCATTGTGATAGCCGGTAAAATATATCACATTAACCCAATTTTTTTTTTAAACAGACATAATATAAACATACTTCCTTGTCACAATTGTTACAACCCTAAGACCAGCAAATCATCCAACATAAACAAGATGTATGCACTTAAAATAGAAGCATAAGAGACTGAAAATACCCAGAGTAAAACCAAATAAAATATATAACTTTGTATATAGTATCAGATAGCTTCATTGTGTCTATCTATCTAGCTTTATTGGGTCTGCCTATCTATCTATATATCTATCCGATAGATAAACACATATAGATGGCTGTTCGGCTATTCACTTCAGGCTTCTACGGCTGATTTCAGCCGTATATCGACTGAAATCAGCCGTACATCGGGTGGCTTCACGTGGCTTCGGTCTATTCTTATAGATGCCGAACAGCAGTGAGTGAATAGCCAAATGCCACTGAGCGGCATTCGGCTCAGCTGTTCTGCTCGGGCCGAGCAGAACATAAAAATAGTTTAAAAAGTAAAAAATAAATAAATAGTAAATGATTGTGTGGAGCTAGCAATGACAGCTAGCTCCGCCCAATAGTTTTCTATTGGCCGGTGGTTCTGCTGCCGTAAAAAATCCGAAAAACTCTCCCGGGCGCTCTGGGAGTCTCCTGCTCCCGGCCGCCCAGGAGAGATACACTGGTTTTTCTTTTTTTTTCTTTATTCTGACACGGAGCTGTGTCAAAATAGAAAAAAAATGTTTGCCCATAGGAATGCATTGCTAGATTCCTATTGGCTATTTCAATTTGCAATAGCCAATAGTAAACTAGGATTGCACCCGCCCTCTGCTGCAGTTCTCTATCAGGTCCATCGGCAGAGGGCGGGTGCAATGCTAGTTTACTATTGGCTATTGCAAGTTGAAATAGCCAATAGGAATCTAGCAATGCATTCCTATGGGCAAAAAATTATAATTTTTTTGTTCTATTCTGACACGGCTCTGTGTCAGAATAAAGAAAAAAAAAAGAAAAAGCTGTGTTTCTCTCCTGGGCTGCCGGGAGCGCCCGGGACAGTTTGCTGTCTGGAGATCAGTGTCCCTGGTTAGCAGGTAACCAGGGACGCTGATCTCTCTGCAAGTGACCGGAGCCAACCGTAAGATCACGGCTTGCTCCGCCCAGCTGTCAGAAGCAGGCTGTCGGCCGGCCGCTCGGCCAGCTTCGGCTTTTAGCGCGGCTCAGCTGAGCCGAGGCATATGCCTTCGGCACGTCTGAGCCGCTCGGCTAAGTTCGGGAGCTGTACAGGCTATTGTGAATAGCCCGTACAGCAGCCCTCCGGTTCTACTGAGCTGAAGGGTTCCTGGGGCCGAAGCTAGCCGAAGGATCGGCCGAAGCTACGTCTAGATCCTTTGCCTGCTTCGTGAATAGACCCCTATGTGTTGAAACTGTTAAGAAGAGCTGACAATTCTGTAAAGGGAGAGATACAGTGCTATATAGTTTTTTTTACACTGATGCATGTCCCTTGTGGCATTGCACAGCTGCATATGTCTGTGTTTGATAATAGCTTGTTTAATTGCCCTATAAATGGGCAGAGTTGCATAACAAGATTCACCCCCATGGACTTTAATGGGGTCCGCTGCAAAGTTTATGAACTGCAAACAAGATCTGCAAAACTGTTCACTAACTAAACCCAGCAGATTTGCTCATCTGGAATGTTCAGGTACTAATGTAATTACCATGGCCGCAGGAGGTGAACATTCCTCAAGACCTATAGCATTGGATTATGCCCAAGATGCCCCCCTTCACTGCACCTTTCTGGTGAGCTCTGCACATTAATTAATAACCTCAACTTACAATAGTGATCACAAGAACCTCCCTTAAGCACAAACATGTACAGTGGCTGGCTGAGTTCATAACTAAAAGTAAAATGGGAGACATAGGGTGGCAAAGCATTCGCTCTATACTGGAGCTGATGTCATCTCTGCACTGGGACCAACAGAGTGTAGCTATACTCCTGCCATACCTTTAAGGCATTTACAACATTACCAAGACTGACAGCCTGTAAAGATTTTCCCCTGCATTATGTGAGGTCACCAGGACATGAAGAAAGAGGTAATCTCCCCAGTGTGTGCGTTAACTGCAGTAAAAAAATTTTTTTGCAGTGGTTGAAAGGCTCTAAAGATTTTCACTGCTGTTTCCCAGCTGGGGAGAGTTTGCCTTGCATCCTGTGTGGTCACCAAGCCAGTTAGGAGAAGTAAGGGGAATCTGATAGAGGTTTTAACTTTTCCCCTTTTTATCCAAATCTAACCAAACAATGCCTGACAGACTCTGTTCTGTATTCTATAGTGGCACAGTTCTGCATTTTCCTGAACAGTCTATATGAGGGGACATTCAGTAGAACCAGGGTTGCACCATAACACTTAATTAACTGGGCTCAGGGTGCAGCATGCAGGGGAGTGCATAGCACAGTAAGTGCTAATATGTATTAAGTCCTTCTGATCAATACACTATTTCTGTCTGAGTGTCAGTGAGTGTTTGTCAGCCATTATATCAAATATCCCATCTTAAAACTTGTGTGAGGCTTGCCTGCAATCCAGTTTGGGGCTTTACCATCTACTTGTTCTTGATTTATTTTGAGATTATGCAACAACGAAACAGGTAGGAAAATCCACACTTACTCTTTTACCAGCTTTTCCCATTGAACCAGGTGATCCCTGAATTCCTCTGGGGCCCTGCGGCACAAAACAGTAAAGGTCATATAAAAACATTGTATATATATATATAATGTAGGAAACAAACAATGAAAAATAAGAAAAAATAGAAAAAAAATAGCAGGAAAGAAAAATGATTTACCTGGGGGCCTGAGTCTCCTGACTCTCCTTTAATGCCTGTAGCGCCCGGAGACCCCTACAACAGAAGAAAGATAAAAGAAATGTAAAGCTGAGATTTTCTTTCAATATCTTATATGCCAAACAACACAGACTGATACAGATGACACGGGGAAGGCTATGATCTTAATAGAATGGTGCATCATCTCTTGACGTTAGTCTATTAAACAAACTGGAATAGTAAAAGCTGCAAAGTCTCAGTGACACAGTGCTGTCAGTCAGAGCTTAGTCCATTAAACCATATTGTGGTTCATAACATGGATTGACAGCGTAAGTGGTGTTGACAATAATCCCTGTAAATCTCAATATTTTTAAAGCTTGCCTGCTGAGTGTCACAAAATTTCTATTGCTGGTGAAAAAGGACACTTTACCCCAAAAAAGTGTTGCATGTATACATAACAATGGGCCGATTTACCTACTGGTTTACAGAGATCTCAAAGATTTAAGTAACTATATATTCCTTCCTGCTAGAATTCTCTTCTCTGTACTGTCCTACCTAAAAGTTTCATGCCTCTTTGTACAGGCGCACTTCTGATGCTGCTACAAAATAAAATAAAATAGAAATCCAGCAGGGACAGTAGCATCTCTTTTACTGGTCATGATAGGTGGATAGAGCTGGGAACTTACTTGCAGCATCTTTGTGGTTCATGAAAAAAAATGAGAGGCTGGAATGATATTTAAATCACTAGCACTGAATCAACACTGAGGTGTCAACTTTATGTAGACAGGCCTGGGTAGATTTACTATGTAGAGGTCATTCACCCAGCAAAGTGAATAAGGTGTTCAGGTTGAAAACCCAATTTTGTGTAGGGATGAGCTTCGGTTTCGAGCTGACGATAAGTTCAACCTGAACCTAAACTGTCCACGAATGATATGGCCAGTTGCCCCACCTGACACACTTCCATCTTTGTCTATCAACCACACAGCATTACTGGATGCTTGGTGACTGTGCTGCACTGCATCATCGGCTGCTAAGACAAAGGCAGACACACTGTGTCATTGGTTGCTAAGACACTGGCAGCTCCACATTGTCATTGTAAATGTGCCCTCCACTTGCATCCTTACAACCAATAATACTGTGCATAATTAGTTTTTAGGTGGCCCTAGGTTTATTTCACTTGGATGTTCAACAAACCTGGAGTTCAGTGAACGTCCAAGTGAACCAAACCCAGTCATTTCACTCCTTTTTTAATAATGTCCAAGGGAAATTTAAAAAAAAAACAGATATATTTTTCTAGCATTTGAATAGATATTCAGAGTGAATACAGCTTCTCTTTAATTATTACCATTTATGTTACAATGTAAAAATACACTTTGCCAAGTAAATATTCACTTTGCTTAGTGAACAGCCTGTCCTCCTTTCATAGATAAACTGGCTGTGGAATGGAATAATTGCTCTCCGCTAGCACTGCCCTAGGAGTGAATGGAGAGGTATTGTGCATGTGGAAAGAGCTTTTTTAGGGACTATCTATTCTATTTTTATCATTGGCTTTAAGCCCTCTCTGTTCCTTTTTTAAGATTTATATGAAATAAAAAATATATATTTTTACATGTTTTTTGGTTGGAGTTGTCATTTTCTGGTGCTTTCTTTCTTTAAAAGAATTTCTTCTGCATACTACTTACCAGGGGTGTGGCACCTAATATCTAGATCCAGGTCAAAAACTTTTTTACCTTTCATAGATAAACCCCAATTTGTTTTGGTTTGTATAAATGTTGTACTGCAGCACAATGTCTGTACATTACAATTTTTCTAAGGCGTAAAAAAAAAAAACCAGCGTGATCCGGATTATTCACTTAACTGACAGTGTTGTATGCTCTCTACAAGGTTAACCTTGTTAATGGTTGTTGTATTCTAATAGGTGTTCCTTTTCTTGGTTAAATATCTGTTTTCACAAAGGGTCTTAAAAAACAAAGCACACTAAGCAAGCAAACACATTATAATTGAAATTCACTATTAGGTGAACCTTTGTTTATCCACTAAAAATAGCTGATAGGTTTACTGTAAGCCAAAGTCAAAATTTTTGACCATAAGTACTTTATTCCATTTTCCTGATGCTGATAGTGATAGTAAATGTCAGCCTTACTACGGTAAACGATGGTGTATCAGCATTTGAAATGCCTCAAAAAATGAAATGCTGGTATCTGTTAATGAACATACTATGCGTACAAAGCGACTCTAAGAAATTATGACTTTTTACGTTTGGTTTGGTCATAGTTAGTACAATACATGAGAAGACTATAGAGTACAATCCCTAAGGGGCTATAGACAGACATTTGCAGCTGCGGTAACAGAAGTAGCACAATGTACTGCGTCTCAGTGGACTTGACATCCGCTTTTAACTCAAAGTAGAACTGCATCTGGAATGTATCCTGTGCAGCCTGAAGGCATTCATATATGAATAGATGATCTTCTCAAGGTATACTTGGGCATGTTCCTTCAAAAGCATATTTTGTTTACACAGACAAAGGCATTCAATATAATAAACAGCAATGTAAACAGGAAAAAAAGTGACGGCCCATTACCCGTTATTCATATATACATTACTAAGGTGAATTATGCATTTTTAATCTGGTAGAGTGGAATTTCACTGTTGTCTTGTAGTATGTGCAGCCAGGGAACTGTGGCTGTAAAAATGCCATGTTGGGGCTGCTTTTTAAGAATGATGTCCTGTACAAGCACTGCCCCTTGCGTCATGCAAATATTTAAGTAAAAACTAATGCTAGTTGCTTTTGATTGCTTTTTGGAGTAAGCATGCTGATTGCTTTATATTCACAGCATTTTTTTTACTGTACAGACCAACAAACAAGACAAAAAGAAGATGGTTTTGCATTTTTTTACCTATAGTGAGTCTTTTGACTAATCTTATCCGCTGCATCTCTTTATCACTGCAGGTCCCTAGCTGAGATTAGCAACAACTGTTCAGAGGGACCAGAACTAGGGAACATAATGATCACAGTTTGTATATTTGAAAGCTTAGCACTGCCCTGTCTAATCTTGCTGCCCTATGCACTCACCCAAGGGTGGCTTTAAGGCATATGCAGCCCTGTATATAGAACATCTGGAGCTTCTAGTGAACTATTCAGTCCATCATTCATGAGCTTGTGGAGACAGAAAGGATGTCAATGTATAACCTGAACTGCCCGGAGTCTTCTAATTGTTGTCTGTTGCCTAAGAGAGTCCCATCCCACATTCACTTAATGGATCTATCCAGTGTTATGTGCTGATGGCCAAACATTGGAAAGAGAAAAACATTAGGAGTGCATTCTTGTTTTTAATTCTCCCCTCTTACCCAGCGTCCTTAGGCACTGGCAAACAAAGGCCGTTATATAAATATATAAATAGCTTGTGTTGGAATACTCCAATATCACTTTTTGATAGTCCTGTAGGTCATTCTGGTCTGCAGAGAATCAAGTAATTGAATAATCCAGACAATCCTAATAATCATGAGTAATGAATTGTATGATTGTCTGTACCCTGGCCAAATATTCATGTATATTTTCAAGAAAAAAAAATAAGTTGGTGGAATTTTTTTTAAACCAACTGGCTTATCACTTTATCACCAAGATCTGGGTGAAGGCATTGTGCTACTCACCTTGTATGATATGAAAATGCATTGAGGCTGATGTACAAAAAAAAAATTAGAATGCTCACACAATAAATTGTATACATATCTACTTAAATTATCTAGTCATGTGCAGATGAAATAAGTAACCAGGGATTTTCTCTTCACATGATTGGATAATTAAAGTGAGTTTTCACACATTTTATTGTGTGATGAGTCTCAAATTCTTTATTAAATCACACACTGCGGGGTTAATTTACTAAAGGCATACAGGCTATTAACTTTTCAATGGAATTATCCCTTTGCAGAGAAATTTTAGCTCATGTGGTCAAAATGCCATTTAGAAAGAATACCCAATCATGTGCAAGAAAAAAACAACAGTATTTTTGCTTGCACATGATTACATGATGGAAGTCAGCAGAGCTTCACCTCATTCACTAAGCTAAGGGAAAATTCCCTTGCAAAGTGAACAGCCTATTTGCCTTTAGTAAATCAACACTGTTATGTCAGTGCAATCGATTATTGATTCCCTGGGCTACATTCACACAGCATGCCTGTGCTATTTCATCCTCTGCCTATCCAGCGCTGAAATTGCTTTCTGGCAGAGAAAACCATTGAAATGAGTGACTCAACATGGCTTGAAGGTAAATGCAACATTTGGGTCAGCTCATTGCGACACTATTCCCAGCACAAGCTCAAGCATGTATTGAATCTTTGACTCAGCACAAACTTTAAGACCCAACGATTGATGGGCACTTGGCAGGTGTTTAAAATGTCTGCCAAGAGGCCAATCAGAAACCATCTTGTTCTGGTCTGGGATCAGCACAGTGATATCCTATTGGTAGCCATGGGTTAGTGCAATTTGTGCTTTTCTTTTTGTAATTTCTATTATACTTTTTTTAATTGAACATTGCCTTAAAAATTAAGCAAAGAAAAAAATACCATGTTTCCTTCCACAATAATATTGATTTTAGCTCTAGTCCTTGTTCGCTGTAATGGAGCATACCAGCTGAAATGTCATTGGTTGCTAGAGGTAAAACATTCACATTTAATTTGCTTCTTTTAACTTTTTCTTTCCTGTTATTATACACAGTTATACAGCATCTTCTTATGCTCCAAAAATCCACCAGGTGTTTATTGTTGGCAATAAAACTTTTTCTCTGTACTTGCTGAAAACAATCCATGTTTAATATTTATAAAGACTATATAATATTTATCTAATATAGGTATAGATTAGAAACTTTAAACTGTGCTTGGAAGTGCTATTTGGAGCACAGTTGCATTGTTCCCAAAATAATGTGATTACTGAAGCTTTCTTTGTGCGCCTAACTAATAAAATAACTGGACGTCTGCAACCTCCTTGTGGTACAAGAGCTAAACGGCTCACAAAAGGATTCACACAGGTTTATAAACATGCATTAATATCCCATATTCCAGCAGCTAGAGGCAGTAAAACTGCAGAACTAATATCCAAAACCCCTCACGCCTCTTTAATGCAGAATTTTTTTTTACTGTTATGCAAGCTGTTCTCTCTGTGGCAAGAAGACTCCTGTTTTGAATGCTTGTGCTTCAAGGGTATCAACCTTCTATATGTGCTTTTTTACAGTATAAGTCAAGGTGCAATGTTGTACAAAATAAAAGTTGCTTATTGAAAGACCAAGGAAAGTATTTTTATTTTGCTAGTGGTAGTCATGGCCTGGCTTTAAAACGTCAGCTTATATATCATCTTAGAACTTTGCTAAAACCTCCTACTTGAGTGCCCAACTCTACCTACCAGCTGCATCCTCAAGATAGAATATCTCAATGTCCCTGCATGTTTTTCTTTTCCTGTACATTATGGAGAAAATAACAAACAGAAATTTCTACTGAGGCAACCTCCCTTCCCACCAAGAGTAATGTAATTGTAATTTTTTTTTAATGTACTGTACATCTTTTCTTATATTGTTTCTCTTTTCTTGCCACATGTGTATTTCTAGGGCTCATTCACACAATGTGCATTATAATGCATATTTTAACATGCATTGCTCCAATAAATGGTGATTCGCAATATGTGTGTCGTGGTGCATTGCCATTCATCTTTAATTGCACATATACAGTGAGCTAAAGCCCACTTGTGTTATAGTACACTATATCACACAAATGTGTAATTCATTCAATCATTCATTCATTAGTAACTGGGGAAAACAAGCTGCAGTAGCATAAAATAATTGTGTGCTAAATTTTTTAACCCTTTCACCCCCGTCTCCTCTACAGTAAGGCGTCTATTCACTAAGCTGTCGAAGAATCTAGCCATAGCTTCAGCTGATCCTTCAGCTAGCTTCGGCCCCAGGACCCCTTAGGTTCAGTAGAACCGAAGGGCTGCTGTACAGGCTATTCACAGGCTATTCACAGCTCCCGAAGTTGGCCGAACGGCTCAGTCGAGCTGAAGGCATATGCTTCGGCTCAACTGAGCCGAGGTGAAAGCCGGAGCTGGCCAAACAGCTGGCCATTGGCCAGCCGACAGCCTGCCACTGACTGCTAGGCGGAGCCAGCCATCATCTTACGGCTGGCTCCGGCCACTTGCACAGACAGATCAGCATCCCTGGTTACCAGGTAACCAGGGACGCTGATCTCCAGATAGCCCAACTCTCCCGGACACTCCGTGAGTCTCCCTCTATTATATAGCGGCTCCCGGCCGCCTGGGAGATATACTCTTTCTCCCGGAAAGTTTTACTCTGCTTGATCAAGCAGAGTAAACCTTTCCCTGCTCTGTTTTCTTTTTTTTTCTTCTGACATCGGAGCCATTGGCTGCCAGCAGAATAAAAAAAAACACCATAGGAATGCATAGCTACATTCCTATTGGCTATTTCAATTTGCAATAGCCAATAGCAAACTAGCTATTGCACCCGCCAACTGCTGCTGTCAATCAGCAGAGGGGACCTGAAGTTCTCCATCAGGTCCCCTCTAGTGATTGACAGAAGCAGAGAGCGGGTGCAATAGCTAGTTTGTTATTGGCTATTGCAAAGTGAAATAGCCAATAGGAAATCTAGCTATGCATTCCTATGGTGTTTTTTTTTTTATTTTATTTTTATTATTCTGACGGCAGCAGAACCGCCCTCCCAATAGAAAACAGTTGGGAGTTTTCTATTTTATTTTTTCTACTTTTTTAACTGTTTTTAACTGTGGTACTGAGCAGAGTCACTCACTGCTGTTCGGCATCTATGAGAATAGGCCGAAAAGCAGCGAGTAGCCTGCTGGAGGTCCGGCATAGCCGATCCAGATGTTGGATCGGCTGAGTCGAACCCCTTCGAACCCCTTCTGCACACGAAGCAAGCAGATGTATGGCTGATTTCAGCTGCTATACGGCTGAAATAAGCCGTACAAGCCTTAAGTGAATAGCCGAACAGCATTCGGCTCACTTCACTTTGGGTCGGTTATTCACTTGGCTGCCTATGGCAGCTTAGTGAATATACCCGTATATGTCAGCTCCATTATATCTCTGCTCTGAACTGTATACTAACCCCTTCACTTCACTTATCCTGCACATCTGTACATTATTCCCTTTATCTACATCCTTCCACTGTACCAGTAACCCTTTCACCTCCGCCTCCCTCTGTGTATGATCTATACATTTAATGCACCATCACCAAGTTCCATGTTTTAACACGCTCAATACTGGCATGTTTCTTCATTTACAAAACATTGTGCAGAAAATCAGATAACCTTGGGGTGTCTACTTTCCAAAAATAGGTCAATTAGAGGGTTTTCAAACTATCCTGGCATTTTGTATTTGCTATGTGTTATAACAGAGAGCAAGGGAATTATTTTTTCTTTCAATTTTGCTGGGCTTTCTTTTCCTTTATATAGGTAAAAAAATGGTTATTAAATATCACAAAAAAGCTCTATCCACCTCAAAAAAATTATATTAAATGAATTTGGTTACAGTGTTGTGTGGCGGAGTAATTCTCAGTCAAACTTTCCCAGCACTGAAAACTGAAAAATGGCCTGGTAATGAAAGGGGTATTACATGCCGGTGGTGGAGTGGTAACCAAAATGTTTTAATATTATCAACTCCATAGAAAAAAAATATTTTAGGGGGCGCATGCGCGTACACAATACAACAGTCCCCTGTAGTTGTCATCTTTTGTACTACCGTTGTCTCAATAGCTGAGCGGCATTGCCGCTATTTCTCCTGTCTCCGTCACAAGTATTCTACAGTTTTGTACCCATGGCACTTACCCCAACCACTTGTGTATTTGTATAAATGTATGTAAAGACGTCTTCTATATTTGTAACTTAATAAAAAACTTTATTTGGAAAAAAATATATATATATATTTTAAACCTGAGGAAACTCCTAGTTTCCTCAGGTTTAATCAAATATCTACCCTTCCATTTTAGCATTTAGAGTTTTGCTATACCATAGCCATTGTGTTTTTCAGCTTGAGGATCATATCAGTGTGCTTTTTAAGTGCTGGATTGCTTCTTTCATTTCTTTGCAGCTCATAAATGTAATTATACAAAATGTGTAATCATAACGCTGTAGCTGCAATCAATGTTGTCCACACATCTACGCTTTAATGGGTCACGGAATTGTTTTCAACACAATAGTTTCTCACAAATAAAATATGCATTGCTGCATGCAGTTTACCAAAGTGGTAATTAAACAGCCGAAAAAAATGTAATTTCACATCCAACGACCGCAATCAATAACCTTCTTTTGCTCCAAAAATAATATATTTTGCTTTAATGAAGAAAGGCCTATTAAAACTTTGGAATAAATTCGATTAAGAGTTAATAGGCTAATAAGCACAGGAAAATGGGCAAAACAGTGGCAAATCTGTACGCATGTTTAATACAGTTCATGATGTTTTTTGATCTGCACAAATAAAATATGTTATACGTTTTGGCATTTGAACAATTTCTTAATTCTCTTATAAAGACATTCCTTAATGCTCTGTCCAATGTCATTCACATATTAGCTCTTACATATATTTTAATAACTATTAGAACATAAACTGACTATGTTTTGCTGCCTGCCATGCCATTGGCCTAGCTACAGAACCTATCATACCATATACATTTGCATATCCACTTAGCGGCCCAGTCTACCCGTCTTAATCCAAACACTTCTGCACAACATGATATCATTAAACTTTACAGATCTAAGGCCAGATTTTGTTCTGTGCATTGCAGTAACCCACAAAACTAACTGTGGTGCATTACGGTTGCATTTATTTTTAATGGCACCCCAATGAACCTTGCTAGCAGACCACTAAACACGTGACTTTTAACACTCCGCAATGCACAGATATGAACCATCTGCAAGTTGTGGTTCATGCTTGTGAAAATGATTGCTGCAGGTGCATTAAAACCTGTGTTACGGTGCATGGGCAGCCCCATTAACAATGTGGTAATGCATCACAACACCGTGGCAAGGTCTGAATGGGGCCTAATATGGAAAGTAGGAATGATGAATTTAGAAAACTCAGCAATTTTTATTTCTCTAAATATTTCCATGTAGACTTGTCAGATCTTTGGAGAATTAAACAGTTCAGGAATTTCTAGCAGACTGGATGAGTCTACATGCATATGTTAAGAGGAATTATTAAAAACCCCTTAATTTGGCATTGTTAATGTTTTTCAAAGATTAATTACTGGTTGAGAGAAGGTGGCACAATATGGTGGCTACTTCTCTGATATAAAATATTACCCTCACAGGGGCAGGTGAGTAAAAAGAAGGATTTGTTCATCCTTTACCTTTATGTCCCAAAAGCTTCCTGATTATCACAGGGCTTATCTATGTGCTTATAATAGCACTCTAGTAACAAAGAAATGTTAGTAGGAAAATTGGTTTGGCTTCATCTGCACACAGAGAGCACTAGTCACTGTGCATTCTATAGCCTAGTGAGAACATGACTGGTTATCTTTAAAGGAAATCATTAGAAGAAATGTTTCGATAAATTCACTTTTCCTGTAGACATTGCATTTCCATGACACCAAAGCTATGTTTTACCTTTATACCCTTTTGTATGTAAAAGTTGAATGCCCCTTGCTCCAACAAAGAATAAAAAAGTCCTCTTACAATACAACCTCAATACTCGATCCATGTAGATTGGTTAGTTCATGTCTAGCTGTGACCATGTTGCATTAATAGTCATGGTCATGAAGATGGGTTTTGGGATTATATTTGGGATTGGTTATAACTCTAGCAAGGACTACATACCACTGGGCCAGATCTTCCTGTGAGACCCATTGGACCTGGAGGCCCCCTCATGGCAATCTGCAAGAAAACCATTAAGAAACAAAATATTTAAATGTATACAACTCCTTCCCTGTAAACAAGTAAACAATGTATGCAGAACACTTATTTCATTTTCATTCATTATAGAAAAATGCTTCAAAAGTGTCTGTGATTTTACTAGATAATATGTTGAACCTAAAGTCCTGAAGAAGCTTCAGAACATTTGTAAATAAAATGTGGTCATAATACCCTCATAAACAATGTAATGCTTGCTTTCTTTGTTTAACCCTCCATAGAAAAAATTATAGCTGAAATCTAATTGAATTGTAAATGGCCACCCTTTACTTCCACTTCAGTGTTCGTACATCAGCTCTCAAATGATGTATGTATGTATGTATGTATGCACATACTGTATATGTCAAGGAAATATGTACATTAATGATACGATTGTGTGTATACTGTAGTTGACCAATATTATTTTAGTAATTCTAGTAATAAAGCATTGTCTAAAACTTAAAGTAGACCTAAACTCTACCTAGATGACATTAGGTTTACTTAAAGTGGAACTACAACCTTTTATCCCTTACAGCCAGAGAAGGTGCCATCTTAGCCTTTATTTGAATTGCAGTTGCCATGGTGGTGCACAAGTGATCAGCTATGACACCAGCCATTTGAGGGCGTGAAAGTTCTCTCTTTTTTTCTTTAAAAAATAGTTTTTACTTCTTTCAACTTTGCAGGGGAATTTTCCATTAGCTTAGTATATGTGGTGAAAAATCACTTTGTAAAGACTACCCAATCACATCACAAGGATTTTTGCTTGCACCTGATTGGATGATGGAAGTCAGCAGAGCTTCACTTCATTCACTGAGCTAAATGGAAATTCCCTTGCAAACAGCCTATTTACCTTTAGTAAATCAATCCCTATGGCTTTGAAATAACAGAACTTACCTCTATGAGGACACATGTGTGTAAACCATCTAGACTAGTTGCTTGAGTCACTTTTATTTTGTCTATCTATTTCTCAGCAATGTCACTTTTAAACCATTTTGTTGGCTTTGTTTGTTCCCTATTGTGGTCCATTACAGGAGCAAGCATGGAGCGGTGGCTACTTTACAACACACACAGGGACCATGGGGAACAAAAGTAGCCAACCTTCAGAAGGAAGGACAGTGTCAGCACAAATTCAGAGATGATTTGAGGATCTACAGCTGACTGATACATAAATAAGCTACATTTTTGTTAATAGTTACGGTACTTAAATGCATTTTTAAGATTTAACTCCTGAGTTTAGTGTCACTTTACCTTTTTGAACACTTAACCCCTAAACCTAACATTAAAGTACTGTAATCCCTAAGAATATTTAACTCCAACTCTATATACTAACCTGTGCTGAGAAACTTTGTGCCAAAAGCATGTATACTCATGTTTAGTCTCCATTGGAAGAATGAACTGATTCAGTAAATTATATATTCGGTTGTGTGGATTTAGTTCCAAAGATGCATTACATTCTACATGTTCTCATTAAAAAAAAAAGGAAGCAACCTGGCCATATTTTCTAATTACTTACACGAGCTTGCTGAAGGATAGCCTGAGCTTGTGCTTCTTGTGCTGAGACAGGTGGTCCTTTTTCGCCATCACTGGAATACCGGAACTGATACACAAAAACACAGGGTAAATATTCTAAATATAAAAATTCTTCAAGCAGCACCAGACATTGATCTTTTTACCCCCTTATCCAACACAATATTATATTATATTATAAATGATATTATATACAATATTAATACAATACTATGATCAGTGTATGTATACAGCTATACTGCCTTCTTAAGGAAACTTGACTTATGTCATGATATACTAATAGTATACACTGTATCCCTTATATATTGTGATACAGCAAATATTTACAAATTACATACAGTTTATACAATGGTTGCTAAAAAATCTCCAGAGTAATAAGACTATGAAGGTTGTATTATAACATAAGTCCATGATATAAAAATACAAAATATAAAACCTCCCTACAATTCAACCCTGCTACCGAGCCAATGTGATCTAAATATACAGTTAATGTATGCAGATAAAACAAGTGTTTTTATCTTAAATGTGAGAAACTGTGTTGATTAGAACCCTTTTGCTGACTATTACTAATAATAATAAAATTTGAGTACTTGAAAATGTTTGTAATGTTCATTGTTGTAATTTGCCTCACCTTTGGAAACCATTTCTTTTTAGTTTATAGATGTATTAAATATATACAATTTTAAAGCTCTACTAAAACTGTCCTGTTTTAGTAGACAAAATATTTCTATAGTAATATACTTATTTTGTGATCCACCTACCCCTGATAGGAAATTGACCACGCTTTTTAGAGCTTGCCATTCAGCAGATTCTCAGCTACTGTTCCACCTCCTGCCTACTAGTAATCACCCACCCTGAGGCCTGTACTTCCTGTTTTTCTACATCTCCCTTATTTTTATTAGTCTGAAGAAATAGCATACCCACTGCAAGTCTGATTTTAACTGCAGTGTGACAACTAGGGTCTTCTTGCTTTGGACTTTTCTGGAACACATAAGTTCATACTTTTACCTGACATTGTTCTTTAATTAAACATGTATTCTAACTCCTAGGGGGTTATTCTTAAAGCTGCCGTAGGCAGCCGACTGAATAACCGACCCGAAGTGAAGTGAGCCGAACGCTGTTCGGCTATTTATTCACTTCAGGCTTGTACAGCTGATTTTAACTGTGCATCGGCTGAGATCAGCCGTATAATGCCTTACTTCGGCTGGCTTCGGGTCGGCTGAACATGCTTAGCATGTTCGGCCGTCCTGAAGTGCAGAAGGAGTTCGACTCAGCCGATCCAACATCTGGATCGGCTGAGTTGAACCTCCGGCAGGCTACTCGCTGCTGTTCGGCCTATTCTCATTGCCGAACAGCAATGAGTGAGTAGACGAATGCCGCTGAGCGGTATTCGGCTCGGTTATTCTGAGCGGTACCTCTGTGGTACTGAGCAGAATAGAAAAACAGTAAAAAAACATACAAAAAAAAGAAAATGATTGGGCGGAGCTAGCAGTGACAGCTAGCTCTGCCCAACTGTCTTCTATTGGCCGGGACCAGCTGTCATTACAATATCATCGTCATCATCATTTGATATCACCGCCGGCTCCGCCGAGCTCTCATTGTAATGACAAATCAGCGTCCCCTGTTTACCAGGGGATGCTGATCTGTCATTGCAAGTGGTCGGAGCCAGCCATGAGATGACGGCTGGCTCCACCCAGCTGTCAGTAGCCGGCGTTCGGCCCTCTTTGGATTTCACCTTGGCTCAGTCGAGCCCGAAGCAAATGCCTTCGGCTCGGCTGAGCCACTCGGCCAACTTCAGGAGCTGTACGGGCCTGGGGCCGAAGCTAGCCAAAGGATCAGCCGAAGCTATGGCTAGATCCTTCGGCAGCTTTGTGAATAGACCCCATGGTGCGTTGTTGGTGGGACAGAATACTTGCGTTAAGGTCATAGATCATAGACTTCGGGAGCTGTACGGGCTATAGTGAATAGACCGTACAGCAGCCCGTCGGTTCTACTGAACCGAACGCCTCCCGTAACCGAAGCTAGCCGAAGGATCCTTCGGCAGCTTTGTGAATAGACCCCCTAATCTGATAAAGGATAAATCAAAAATCTCAATGAGGCAACTTTTATTGTATCTCTGCAAAAGCGCACCAAAATATACCCTGCCCTAGTCAATGATAGCTTAATGAATTCCCTGTGTTCTAGGTGAAAACTGCAAAATTATTGAACAATATCAAATAGAACCTACTACTCACCGGCAACATCAGCATAGTGCCTGGAGGTCCAGCTAATCCATCAGCACCAGGTAATCCAGGACGACCAGGTGGACCCTAAGTAAAATGACCACATAAGTGATAAAGGTAAAACACAAGTGTAGGAAGTTAGAAGATAATTAAGCTATCTGAAATATTTGCTTAATCATTTGTAGTAATTAGTATGTAATGAAACCCTATATTATTTTATTGATGTACAAAAAACTTTTATATTAGCCTATTATAGGCTGACTGTATATGGTACTCACTCTCTCACCAGGGTCTCCAGATGGACCAGATGGGCCTTGCAAGCCAGGGGGACCAGTAAGACCCTAAAAGAAAAAGGGGATACATGATACCTAGAACAGATATACCTCCATAATGTGGCATACTTTGTGTTAAAGGGACATTAAATCCCCAAAAAATTATATTTCAGTTTAAAGTGCAGTCTGGATTCCTAAGTGTGTTACCACTCATAGTGAAGTTGCTTTTACATCAGCAGAGCAGCTCCCACTCCTCTTGTTTTAGTAATCATGAAAAAGCATACATAGGAAATCAACAGTCAGAGTGGAACTGCTCAGCTAGTAGTCACAATAAAACAGGACATACTTTGAAAGAGTTTCAATTCAATGTGACTAACTGCTAATAATAATACCATGGCATGCATAGATGAAAAACTTCCCAGACATGGTGAAACCATTCATGGTGGCTGAAGCAGGGTTGCTCGTCTGGTTAGTGAAGCACAGAGATTTTATGACTAGAGTCTCTTAGAGACACATGGAATATTAAAAGTGACTTAACATGGTTTTTCATTTTCAGAATAAAACTGAAAATCCTACCCACTTTCTCTCTAATCAGCTAAGCCGTTATGAGGCCACTGTCACTTGGAGAGCTGTATGACCTTTCTCCATGTATCCCATGTTGAGAAATAAAGTGGCTTCCACTGGATGTTGAAAATCTGTGGAAATCCATTGAAAAACAATGGGTTTTGGAGGGTATACTAAAATAATGCCAATCCGCTCTGAGCAGCAGCAGCATTTACAGTATAACAACTTCCCAGTGGCACTGTTAAACCTGGCATCTTTTTTGTATTTGTATTTGTAGGTAATGCCTTCCCAAAATAAATCCCTGCATATGCATCATGTGGGATTTCTATTATTTATTTAATTGAAGTTACAATGCCACCCTACTTCTGGTCTGTATACTGTCAGCTCTGTGTTTAATGGGGGATCCAAACGAGTTGAACCCGCTGTTTATGATTAGGGAGGCATGAGGATATGTATTTTCTGTTGCATCCTAAAATTCTAAAAACTTTTTTGCCTCTAAAGCACCCACCTAACTAAATTTTGAAATAAAATAGGTTAAATCAGCAGAATTGAGAACCTTCCCATTGGCTGCAATAGGTCAATATAAGACAGCTCTCACAGAACACTGCACTTGCAATGCAGCAACAGAATAGGATACATAATATACTGTACGCTCTATCTTTCTGGTGTGATTTATTTCTACAGCTTTCTCTTAAAGTTCACAATAAACACTGTATATAAAGGACACCTGCCATGGGAGAAATATGAGGGCTGCCACTAAAAAATATTAGTTACCAAGCTCTCATGCTGACCTTCTGGTGTCAATGTTTTCTAAAATGACTGACTGAACAAGTATCCATATCAGGAGTTTGTGTCAGTAACTGTAACATTGAAAAGTAAATGTACCAAAGCCAGAGACAGCCAGGCAACTAGCAAGTTCAAAACAGCTAAGAAATGGCAGCCTCTGTATTTTTGTTATGACAGTCATCCTTTAAGGTGAAATACAACTGGTACATTACAAAATGGATACATACTGCTGGTCCTTCCAGTCCTGGGGGTCCTTCAATAAGCATTCCCTGAAAAATAAAAAAGATGGAGTTGAAGTATATAACACTTGCATGCTAAAAAATACAAAGAGTCATAAAAAGTGATTAAGCTATATGATCTACCTCACAAGGTTGTCTTTAACAAAGGCCTTTTATGTATTCATTGAGAATAATTGTAAACACTCTGGATGAGTCCAGAAGAGGCAAAACCAAAGAATATTTGTACTTATTCAACACAGCTCATTTATAAAGAGAAAAGTCAGCTATATGTGTTGTCAGGATGCACAGCTTGTGAATGAAAGCTCAGGCAAAGAAAGAGTAGTGTTATCACTGCTTTGCTGAGCAACGTTGTATGAGAGTAAAAGGTAGCAGATGGTGCAAGCAGGGTAAGAATCACAGGTGTAACAGATAATGAAGATTTTCATTTTGTCCACCATTGTGAGGGTTTTGGAAATCCCATCACTGCTGACGCAAAATTTCTGCATCAGTACATGCACTACATTTATAACATGTTACAATTGAGCTATGTATGGACTGACTGAGGTATACTTTGATGGAATGGATTTATTGACAGCATGTCAAATTACAATTTTGGACTAAGCCTAATTGCTTCATTTAATAGGTCTATTCATCTGAATCTGAAAGGAAAATTGAGGAATGGCATGTTAGCATTTTTTTTTTAACATATGGTTTAAATGTAAAAGCTTGTATACGTAGGACAATTATGGTAATAGTTCACATGAAATCTGCCAGTTATCTCCTTCCGTTTAAGGCTCCTGCTGCATATTTATATCCAAACGGAAACTATTGAATATGGTAGATCTAAATGTGATGCTTAATTATAATAACAATTGTGGTCATTGTACTGTTGTGTCATCCATCCTTGATGTATCACATGTGATTGCTGAATAGTGAACAGTAAAGGTCATAGCTGAAATTCAGGCCTGTTTGCTTTGTTACTTTACACCTAAACATGTAGATGTTTGGTGTATTCAGTTTCTAAAACCTGTCCTTTAGTGTTGACAGTGCCTGTTTAAAGGCAAAGCTATCAAGTGTTCCTCATTTGGAGGGACAGTCCTTATATAGGAACCAAATCTCTTTGTCTGTCTTTACTCCTTAGCAATCTCTATTTTTGCTCTTCTAAATATATTTCTTCTAAATATAAACTTTATGTTCTGCATAACTAGGGGTAAGTGTGGGAGGGGTACGTTCTTTTCTTAAGGTGCCCATACACTGTACGATTATCATATGAGAATCGCGGGAAATCCCGCGATCGTACGAAAATTGCAAAGTGTATGGAAGGCGTGCGACCATTTCTACTGTACGGTCGCACGTCTTCCGTTGAACAAGCAGGCTGGAAAACCCGCCGGGAATCGTACGATTCTCGGCGAGTTAGTGGCCTGCTTGTTCGACAACTGACAAACGGGCCGCTGTGCGCACGCGCACACTGCCCATTTGCAGTCATCGGAAGCCCCTCATTGCAGTCATCGGAAGCCCCTCATTACAGTCATCGGAAGCCCCTCATTGCAGTCATCGGAAGCCCCTCATTGCAGTCATCGGAAGCCCCTCATTGCAGTCATCAGAAGCCCCTCTTTGCAGCCATCGGAAGCCCCTCATTGCAGTCATCGGAAGCCCCCCCCCTCATCTGCCTATCCAAGATGGGCAGATCGTACATTTTTTAAATTACTTTACAACCCTCGCATGACAAGAGTCTTGCGAGGGTTGTAAAGTGTATGGCCACCTTTACACACTTTGGGTTTGATTTACTAAAGGAGAAGGGCATAGTCACTTTGTATGGGAATTTTCACTTAAACTGGGTACACGCTGTTAGGTTTTTTTCGCTCAGTTTTGGGCGAATGAAAAAAATCTACCAGATTCCTTTATCATTGCAAAACAGCATCTACCAGATTCCTTTATCATTGCAAAACAACAATAGAGTGTAAAAACCTTAATTTGATTTGACTGTTTGATGAAGTGGCAGTACTAGGTGCCAAGAATGCTCTGTTCCATGTTCAGCATGCACTGACAAGAAATATGCTGACAAGAGAAGAGTGCAAAACAATGGTCTTATCAGTTTGTTACTGCTCCTTCACTGTCCAATCATAAACTGGGGGCAAGGAGGTGACAGCTGTACAGCTTAACTGCAGTAAAGAAAATTCAGGTCACCAGCCTGGCTGCTGAAACTGACAGGGCTCTGTAAATTGTAGGAATAAATTGGGAGAAATACAAATTCTTTGGCAGTTAAAAAAACTCCTACATATTAATTTCACCTGTGCACTTAGCTTATTGTCTGAAACTCAGCTTCAACAAAGTTACAGCACCATATTAAGGTGTTATACCTTTAAACAGACTGTTTTAGTTCTTGCTGATCTACTAACCGACTATTAAAATTTAGAAGTGAAATCCAAACTGATGTTGGTTACAAATTACTTACTGGTTCAATAACAGCTCGTTCTCCCTTCTGGCCCTTCTCGCCATATCCTCCATAGTTATTTACCTAAAATATCATCAAATGTAATGTTAACATACTTCAATTGGCAAGTGCTGCGGGAAAATAATTAATGAATAATCTATACATTTAAAGTGACACTAAACTCAGAAGTTACATCTTAAAAATACATTCATGTACCTTAAATATTAATAGAAATGTACGCTATTTGTGTATCACTCAGCTGTAGATCTTCAAATCATTTCTGAATTGGTGCCGACAGTGTCCTTCCTTCTGGAGGGTGACTACTTTTGTTCTCCATGGTCCCTTAGTGTGTTGTAAAGTATCCACCGCGCCAAGCTTGCTCCCGTGATGGACTACAATACATGTTTAGTTTAATAGTTTGTATTGAGATTGTAGTTGATCACAAGAGGGAGCTTGGAGCATTGACTACTTTATAACACACACAGGGACCATGGGAAACAAAAGTAGCCAGAAGGATAGTGTCAGCCCAAATATAGAGAAAGATTTAAGTGATGCACACATAAGCTACATGTATTTGTTTAGTGTCACTTTAACAGTTAAAACTAGAGCCATTTCATGCAAAGATAATCCCTTTTTTAGGTGAAAATTTCAGTAAATATACATAAAATTAAGTAAATGGTGGTTTTAATAGGATATAAGTTCTACTCCGTGTGATAACTTTTGCACAGTTAACAAATACAGTGTATCTCTAAAACTTAAAAACTTAAAAATTGTAAGTAAACATGCAAAATTTATATTTAGTTCACAGCTTAGTAACAAAACCTGTTACATGAGGAAATTTTTACCATATCTGCCCAATTAAAATTGCTGAAATGGTAGATATAATCTACAGAATAGGTAACTAACTGTAGAAAAGCTACTATTAGAGAAACATGGAAGTGGTCATTTCTGAAAAGGCTATCATCTGCCTATTGCGCTGACCCTTTCGTTTCAATATGATCTGATTTAAAGGCACACACCACGTGTGCAGATAAGAACTTTTGATCTGTATGTTTGTCATCTTTAATACTAAAGTTGACCGTGTCAGCTACAACAGGTTTACTTTAATTATAAAAATAATCTTTAGCAGATATGCTTTACTGTATTTAAACTGAAGCCCCATTTCTAACTGTACCATTTTCTGGGGCCTTTAACTGTGGGTTAGGTAAAATATGCATTACTCAATAGAACCCAATCAGATAGATATATTTTAAAGGTACCTGCAAGCATTACAATCTAACTGTATACTTTTTTTTTCTTCGAGATGAGATGCAATTGGTATTTCCCCTTTTATTGAAAGGAATGGTGAGCAGATAAGGTGGACTTGTTCTTGTTTATCCATGACACATTCGTTTTTCATTTGTGATCATATGTATAGTTGAAAAAAAAAATATTTGACAGCTTGCTAGATCATTGATTCATTTTATTAGGTTGAGTTAAAAAAAAAATTGTTAAATTAGAGAATAATGTACTGCCATACTTGTGTGGCAGTATGCAAGGAATGAATATGCAATTGAATCTAAAATGACTATCAGATGAAAAAGTGCTTGCACATGTGTCCAACACAAAACTTATGGCTTCCAAAATGTTTATGAGGGACAGACCTTGACCCATATATTCCACACCTAGAATCTATGTGACTAAGTTACCATGTGGTATAATAACCCTTTAACAATACTAGCACCTAAAATAGGTAAAAATGGTAGAACAGAAAAAAGAATAGTAATAATAATGTACATTATGCACCAATGCCTAAACGTTTGCAATAATGTCATTATTTGTATTATTATCATCTGTTCAGAGATCACATGGTATCACACCAAATGTTGTCCATTCTTGAAGCAAAATTAACATTATTGTTAATATTCCACCATGATGAAATAATTTTCTTATTCTGAATGCTGAATATAGTAGCCTGAAAACAATTTTTCCAAAATGCTGCTTATTCCTTACGCTGGGGGGTTCAAAGTTTAATGCTGATCATACACAAGAGGCCCTTGCTTTTTGAAAGAAAAAATATCTAACAGTAGGCTGTTCATGAGCATGTCAAAGGATACTGTAAAGATCAAATGGTCTTTATCTTTGAACTAACAAGTGCCTGCTTAATAAGCCACTAAATCTACAGTTAAAAGAACCTACCAGAAAATATAAACAAATAAAAAAATATTTCCTAAGTAAAGATTCACTTTAGTTTACTCACTTTTTTCTAAAAGCAGCAGTGAAGAGAACTAGCAAAAAACGATTTGGTTTAACAGGAGAATACTATAGGCAGACCTAGGATTGAGTCCCAGCTGTTGACATAAGGCATCTTAAAAACTATGACATATGTAACTGTAGATTGAAGACAAGTTAACAATCAAATGGATGTACAGAGAGGTAATGAGATATGGATTCCAGCTCAATAATTTCTAAAGCTTTTCTGTTTTTATTCAATGACCTGTCTCAATGATAACTTACGTTGGTCTCTGAAACATCTGTTTCGGCAGCAACCCCAGGTCCAAACTCTTCTCTGGTAGGATTTGTTTCTTTCTCTTCATAGTCTGTATAATCATATAAATCTTTTTCTAAATCTCCTACCACCACCGGCTCAGTTGGTGTAGGGTCTACTGCTTTCACCCCATAGTCTGTTTCCTCAACCAGCTTTTTCTCTGAGTCATAATCCTCGCCAGTTACGTACTCCTCCAGAAAAGGCTCATCCACAAAGGTTTCCTCCACCAGTGTCTCATCCACAGGGGTTTTCTAGCAGCGCCGATGTAACAAGTGAGGGGAACACACGGGTTAAGGTTAGTTAAAGCTGTTAGATGCATTTAAGCCATAAAGCAACTGTAGATGCCATCAAAAGAAAGCTGAAATTGCTCTGTACCTTTTAATGTGATTTAGGGGCAAATGTCAAGAAAGTTCTCTAAATCAATTAAAAGATAGGAATGTAAACATATGTGTTATAAAGCAGCAGTACCACCATAAAAATAAAGTGAAAGCTCCGAAGCCAAATTTGTTTGTAATACTGAAAATAAATAAGCAAATGCTCACATGTATGAGGTAATACTGGTGCTTAAAAAATAATACTTGTACCTCAATATCTCTAGAATTTTGTTTGATAATTATTGCTTGTTGCTAATAAAATAATAAAAGCATAATTTAAATAAATATAAGCAATTAAAGCATCTGCATATAGCTAATTTTACAAACATTCCAACTAAATTTGCCTGTGTTCATTGAAATGCAACACCTTTTGTAATATTGTATATAAAAACTCTTAGGGGTCTATTCACTAAGCTATCATAGGCAGCCGAGTGACTAAATGACCCGAAGCGAAGTGAGCCAAACGCTGTTCAGCTATTCACTTCAGGCTGGTACATCAAAATCAGCCGTACATCGGGTGGCTTCGCGTGGCTTCGGGTCGGCCGAACATGCTCAACATGCAGAAGGAGTTCGACTCAGCCGATCCAACATCTGGATCGTCTAAGCCGAACCTCCGGCAGGCTACTTGCTGCTGTTTGGTCTATTCTTATAGATGCCGAACAGCAGTGAGTGAATAGCCGAATGCCACTGAGAGGCATTCGGCTTGGCTGTTCTGCTCGGTCCCTCTGTGGGACTGAGCAGAACAGAAAAATAATTAGAAAAGTACAATAAAATAAATAGAAAATGATTGTGCGGAGCTCACAGTGACAGCTAGCTCCACCCAACTGTTTTCTATTGGACGGTGGTTCTGCTGCCGTCAAAAAAAGGAGAAAAAAAAACATTTTCGCCATAGGAATGCATAGCTAGATTCCTATTGGCTATTTCAATTTGCAATAGCCAATAGCAAACTAGCTTTTGCACCCGCCCTCTGCTGCTGTCAATCACTAGTGGGGACCTGATGGAGAACTGCAGGTCCCCTCTGCTGATAGGAATCTAGCAATGTCGAGCAGCATTCGGCTCGGCTATTCTACTCGGTACCTCTGTGGTACCGAGCAGAATAGAAAAACAGTTAAAAAAGTAGTAAAAAAGAAAACGATTGGGCGGAGCTAGCAGTGACAGCTAGCTCCACCCAACTGTTTTCTTTTGGCCGGGCGGTTCTGCTGCCGTCAGAATAAAATATAAAAAAAAATGTTAAATCACCATAGGAATGCATAGCTAGATTCCTATTGGCTATTTCACTTTGCAATAGCCAATAGAAAACTGGCTATTGCACCCGCCCTCTGCTGCTGTCAATCACTAGTGGGGACCTGATGGAGAACTGCAGGTCCCCTCTGCTGATTGACAGCAGCAGTGGGTGGGTGCAATAGCTAGTTTGCTATCGGCTATTGCAAATTGAAATAGCCAAAAGGAATCTAGCAATGCCGAGCAGCATTCGGCTATTCTGCTCGGTACCCCTGTGGTACTGAGCAGAATAGAAAAACAGTTAAAAAAGCAGTAAAAAATAAAATAGAAAATGATTGGGCGGAGCTAGCAGTGACAGCTAGCTCTGCCCAACTGTTTTCTATTGGCTGGGCTGTTCTGCTGCCGTCAGCATAGCTAGATTCCTATTGTCTATTTCACTTTGGAATAGCCAATAGCAAACTGATATTGCACCCGCCCTCTGCTGCTGTCAATCACCAGAGGGGGACCTGATGGAGAACTGCAGGTCCCCCTCTGCCAACGGCTCCGATGTCAGAAGGAAAAAAAACGAGCAGGGACAGGTTTACTCTGCTCAATCGAGCAGAGTGAACCTTTCTGGGAGAAAGTGTTTCTCTCCCGGGTGGCCGGGAGCCGTATTAGACTCCCAGAGAGTCCGGGAGAGTAATGATAGATGGCGTTCCTGGTCACAAGGTAACCAGGAACGCCATCTGTCATTACACACTGAGAACACAGAGAGGCCGCTCTCAGTGTGTAATGATAGCATCCCTGGTTAGCTGGTAACCAGGGACGCTGATCTCTCTGAAAGTGGCCGGAGCCAGCCGTGAGCTACGGCTGGATCCTTCGGCAGCTTAGTGAATAGACCCCTTAATGTTATATCATGTTTAAAAATATAATCTTGTTGATCAGTTTTATAAGGATTCAAATTTAGATGTGCTGATGTAACCCTTTATACACAGGTTAACCTGTGCATAAAGGGTTGAAAGGTGCAGATATTACTTAGCTTACCAGGTGCTTAGAAACTGCAACCAGTAATTGTCTATAGCAAATATAAGCACTAATAGTTCAAAAGCAAGAACAAAGTTAGAGGCTTATGACTTGTCATTTGCAGTTATGCAACTCCCAGCAATATCAGTAAAAATCTGCTCAACTGTTGAGAGTTGTATAACATTTGACAGACAGTCACAACTTACCAACACTTGGTATGCAGCATCAAAGCAGATAATTTGAAAGCACATTTTTGTATTAGAAAATAGATTTCCAAAAATATTTTAAAATACATGTTTTTCTGATTTAAAACACCTAGTCAAATTTTGCCTAAATTTTACAAGTTTATTAAAATTGACTGGTTGTTATAGATCAAATAATTGTAGTTACCATGGCTGCTCTTGAAAGAACATTGTAATTTTAATCAACTAATTATCTTAATATTTGCAATAGCTTCACAAGTTTAGGTTTAGAACACACATTGCTAACATTACAAAAACATAAATTTTCTTTTTGTGGCTCGCAGAACAAATTTTTATGTTCTCTCAAGAATTTGATCATTTTTGGGGGGAATAAGCAAGCAAAAGCAAGTAAATAAAGCAGCTGATGTTCAAAATTCACCTTTTGGATCAACCCAGTAAGTAATCTCTTTACTGATGAACCAATATTGGCATTGGTTTAAACCAGTAATATAATATTTGGTAAACATTAAACTGCTCTGTTTCAAAGTTGTGTTTTTTTATGCACTGTAACTGTTACTGTAACATATATAAATGTTTATTTTAAATGAAGGGCACTTTTTATTACAATCATTGTGATCCATGTATTTTTCACTCATATAGTTTTTCATTTTGTAATTCACTGGGAGGAAGGGATTATGAGCATTACTATAAATGATACAATATCCAATCCTTCTTGTAAACCTGTAAAAAAATAATATACGGTAACATGCAAAATACTCTTGCTCCTTTTTTGTTTACCTCATTGAGTCCAGTAGTAAGAGCAGGTGTGTCTGTCTGGTAACCATAGTCCACTTCACCATACTGTTCTGGAATGTAGTCAACTACATTAGCCTGAGGAAGAAAAAGGAGATCTTTGTTTGCCAACTTTTTCTTGGAATATTATAAAGAATGTATTGGCTCAAAGTAGGAGTATAGTGATAGTCAGGTTATGGTATTAGCCAGAGATACTGTCCACATCTAGTTGGGGTTAGGGCAGTTTATGTCTCATGATCAGAGATCTTCGGGACTGGCCCTACTGAAGATCTTGATTTCTTGCTACCTTTACCCCTATTCTTTTTCTTGTTGATGCTTGGTAATCGGTCTTGCCCTTCTTCTTCTTAGCTGCAAATGAGTTTTTGGGCGTGACCTTTGGGGGTTTGTCCTTTGACTTAGGGGGCACTGGCTTCTTCTTCGTTTTGGAATTGGCTTTCTTCTTCTGCAAAAATGTGGTGAAAGACCGAATGGAAACAATGAATGAAGGAGAGGAAGTAAGGAGGAGTTTTAGAGGCAGGCCTTTTTAATGTGTTATTTACTATTCAGTGCTATTCTAGGAGCAGCAATTTTGGGGGGGAATCTTGTCCATTGTAGAGTTAGCAGTCACATCAAGAACTACAAACACAGTATGTAAGTAGCTAATACACTTTTACTGCACCCTCTAATCTCTACAGCACACTGAAGGAAACTTTAAAGCATTCTGACCTGTTTATTAACAAAAATAAGAAGAGCAGTAGCAATTAATGAAAAATCACTTTACTTTGGTCTGCACACTTAAAAGGGACAGTTAGATTTGTGCTTAAGCCAAATTGTAACTTGTTCTCTTTAAAGCAGCTTGAATCAAAATTCTTATTTTGATTCTTGTTCTCTCTGCCTGCATCACCAACCAAATGTCCCTTTCATTATACAATACTGCTCTGGGTTAGGGGAAAATTAATAAGATTTATTCAACCAGGGAACAAGAATAGATTGCCTATAAGACATTTTGATAAATAATGCTGTGTTTTGTTTATAGAAACCTCCAGGTTTGGAAGGTCTTCGATAATGAGCACTTCCCTTTGCACCCTGCACCATTCATCCCATGTAGAGACCGCCAGGTCTAAAGGTGCCAGAACAATCCTACTCTTAGCACTCTGCTCTACACAGTTACTTAACAGCCTCATAGAAATGTATGGGGAAAGCTGATAGCTGCTGCAGTACTGAGAAGTGCACTGAGGATAGAAGTATGTTAGCTCCAAACCTTTGGCCTGAAGAAGGTAAGTATCTAACACCCATGTTGATATCTTTAGAACTTAGAGTTGTTCTTTAATAAACAATTTATCTTTTAAGGATTATAAAAAAGCAAGTCTAAAGAATACTTCTCTTTGAATAGCACTGCAAAGTAAATATACACTTCATAAGATCAAACAACGTAATTGTAAATATAAATTAAATCTAAAATAAAATACTGAGATATCTCATATTTGATGGACATACCTGCTGTTTTTCAGAACAATAAACAATATGTTTTCCATAGAAAGAAACATGTCTGTACAATAAAGAAGTCTGAGAGTTCTGCACAGGATTGTCAAAAGTTACTACCAGGGAAACAAAATATCTCAGTACAGTTATAATAGATTTGCGTATGCATATAATTCTTTGACATTGTATTTCCAATTTCCACCAATTAATAAAGTGATGCCTGCCATTATGTCATCCAACTTCCAGAAAGGTGCAGTCAAAGGTGATGTAGAAAGAAGGGACTGAGATTACACACGAGCAGATGACGAGACAAACGTGACACATATAGCGCACACAACACAGATTTACTATACCTCAGTCTGAGCTACATATTCTTCAGTTATTGAGGGTGCCACTGTTACATAATCAGTCTCCTTGTAATCTGTTTCCCCATACATATAGTCATAATCGACTTGCTCATCAGGTGCATACTATATTGCAAAAGGAATATGTGTTTAGCAAGGCAGTGTTAGTCAGCTGAAGTCTATAAGCTTATCGCACAGTTACACAATGGCAATCACAAAGAACTGCCCTTGAAATGTATGTACAGCCAAAACATTTTTTTTAGTTTTGAATACATTATGGAATGATTAGAACCCCTGTCAAAAAAGTTTCACCATCTCTATTTATCCTGGTGTCCAATGTCACCAAGACATTAGAGTAATGGGATTTTTTTTTTTCAGTTTTTACCAGAACAGGTGATGGTAGTTCTTCCAAATGAAGACACCTATTCCAGTGACAACTGCCTACGAGGTGATTCCACCCTCACTTTGTAGAGATGTCTTCTCACTTCCTGCTATGTCTCTGGGACAGGAAAAGTAAGGAAATCTGGGATACGAAAAGAAACAGAATGCAGAGAGAAAAAAATAAACTGACATGGGTTTTAAGCTTTCCCTACTCTTAACAAAACTAAAAGTAAAAGGTTCTGGCTATACAAACACTTCAATTAAAAATAAAATAGAGTATTGAAAAGCAGAGCAGATACCTGTAACAGCAAGCCACATTCCAACTGCCTCTTTTATACAGCAGGTCATAAAGTGCTGGCATTTGATTGGATGACATGGATAATACTCTTAATACTCTCCCTTTCTACTCTTTTGTTTTCATAAAAAAATGGTTCAATGAGGTGTGCCTACTAAAATTATGGCAAAGGACAAATGAGGCTGTTGTTCATAACACCTAAACAAATGTTTGCTTTTTTTTTATCCAACCTGCTCTAAAATGAAACATGAAATGTGATTGGTTGCTACAGACAAATACTCAAATTACTCAGTAGTACACACAAAGCAGCACCAATTTGTTTTTTATCATCTGCTGTACTTTAAAATGCATGGCAAATTGTTAAGCTGTGGCTTATAAGAAATAAAGCATAATTGTGAGACAGAAGTAATAACTCAAACCCAGAGCTTTTCAGTCTTTAACATAGCCTGCTTTTTAATGTAAAATATTAACACCTTTAATACAAATATTTAAAACTGAGTACCATATAGTAATTACATCATATTAGTATCAAGTATGATTGTAGTGAGTTCAGAATGCTACTGTTTTACAATAGATATGGCAGCTTACAAAAAGCTTGCACTATATAAATCAAATATAATGTTGATGTATTCATTGTAATAATATATAATGTATATATATATATATATACATATATATATATATGTATATATAATGTATAGTGTTTAGATTCTACTAAAACTTTTTCCGCAGACTGCAGACTTAATTAGCAGTGCTCAGGAATGCAGTGATGTAATCACTGCCATTCTATAAAGATTAACCTACTGACTTTATGGCTTAGTAATTTGAGCATGATATAATGCTGTGCTGAAACCCCTTATAGACCAAGTCATGCAGGGATACAGCAGAGCTTCTGCATCGATTGGCTGAAAAGACTTGCGTAGCTTTAGTTTTGCAGCATAAATAGAAAGAGGAAATACATACAGACTAATAATCAAATGGTTTCACTGATAAAATACAACATATTAGAAAAAATACATCAATATCATTTAAATGATTAACCATTTGATTTGATTATTTCCATATAGCATGAAAGAAATGGAGGTTAATTACAGAATGTATCTAAGTTAATTACCAAAAGATCTGCATGATCAGCAAATTAGATAAGCACAATTATTAGGTAGGAGTGTGTGTAAAGTCCACACCCATTAATTTAACTGCTTGAACATTATACATTTTGGACATTATACAATGGTCCCTAATTTTTAATGGGAAGTGTTAAAACCTCTGTCACGGTTTATTGCTGTCTATGTTACTGTTATTAGAAATGTACTCTTACATAGATGGGCAGTGGGAGTAATGTCCCCTTACATTGAAGGTCAGTGGGAGAAGAGCCTCATTATATTAATTGTCAGTGGGGGGAAAGCACCATCTTGTATTGATAGTTAGCTGCAGCTGCTCGGAGAAGTAGAGGTGCACCCTATATTGGTGGTCATTGGTAAGAATTCCTCTTACACTGTTGGTCAGTTTGAAGTAAGAATTCCACTTAAGTTGGAATTCAATAAGAAGAATGCCCTTGAATTCATGGTCAGTGTGGAGAATGCCCCTTGCATTGGTAGCCAGTGGGCAAAATGCCCCCTACATTGTTCTCAAAGGGAAGAATGTTCCCTTACATTGGTGCTTAGTGGGAAGAACGCCACTTACTTTGAGTGGGTGTGAAGAATGCCCCTTTATTGGTCGTCAATGGGGAGAATGCCTCTTACAGTGGTGTTCTGGGTCCTGAAGAAATGTTTATAACGTTTGGACAAAACACAGCAATTTTGCTTTTGCTATAAAAAAGATAAAGTGCTCTGATTGCTTATCTATTGCTACCATGACTGCAGGTATACACAGCCATCATATTGAGTGACCCTAGTGTGATCCACATGTTGCTTGCCCCAAGAGCAAAATGTTCAGATGATTGGAATGATGGTGTTTGGCCAAATCTGACAAAGATGCAAAGTACACAGACCACATTTCCATGTCATTATACAGAACATGAAAAGCATGAAAAACAGCCATGTGGTCTTCTATACTGCCAATGTATGTGTACGCATTGGATTCCATAATTGTCTACCTAAACAACACTTGCTATATTAACATGAACATGTTTATTTGTTAAAGACAATATTAAAACTATAGGAGCAACGATTGCTCAATATAAAAGGCGGGGACTCTAGAGTTGTCATCCTGAACCTCCCTTCACCACCTAGTGAATTACTGATGAAGCATGATGAAAAGGAGGTAAACAATTTTTAAACTTTTCTGGACACATGCTTGTTCCAGGTTAGTGACTCAGTAGGTAGTGATGAAAACTGCAGAGCCTGCATCTATAAAAAAATAAGTCAACAATGGAAGCTTCCATATTTCTGTCTTTACAGGTTCAGTTTAAGGCACTGTAAAGACCAAAGAGTGAATAAAGAAACTTGGATTTAAAACCAACCAATCACCTTTAAGATCACTGTGATAACATTAACAAAATATGTATTCCTGTTTGCCATGGGTTATTAGTTACACCCTGCTACTTAATTTACAGCATAAACATATACTGGCAGCTTATAGTATAGTGCTTCATCATTTCTAAAATTAAAATTGGCACTGGCCTGACAGTATTGCTATAACGTCAATATTAATTTGTATGTGTACAGAACAAAGGGATAGGCTGAAATCAAATGATAACTTTAAAAATTATAAAAGAATAACTACATAAGCCATGGCTAGAGGGAACATAATAATCCCAGTGTCCAGCTCCTAGTGCGGTGTGTCTAAAACTAATTCTGAACATATGGTTGAGCAAAGGTTTTTCTGACACCAGAACAGAAGAAAATGACAGTTGGCATTTCTGTTTTTTCTGCAGTCTGAAGCATATATCACTATCTAGTACAGACTGAAGAGCCAAGAGAATTGCAGAGTAAAATGTTGATCTACACAAGTTGGCAGCTACCAAAATAAAATCACTGATACAAATAGAAGACAAAATTCTGGCACAGAATTTGGCTCTGGGACATTTGCTTATGTCTTCTGAAAATTGACATATTCCTTTTAGGCAGAGGTGTTTTGGCTTAATTAATTGCAATCTAAAACTTTTCTGCACTTATAACGTTTGCTGCATTATGATGTACAATTAGTGCACACTAGAAACTATTGTATCACAACTGAAAAACGTATTTATCACACTGAAATGTAATGGTCAGTTATTGTGGTTGGTTTATTAAATGGGGTTGATTTATTAAATTACTTTAATCCCTTTAAAGCAAACCTGTGTTAAAATTTTAAATTGCCAAAACCATTTGCCTTTAAATACTTACCCTTTATGGTACCCGCCACCACCGAAAACCTCTCCATTGATGAGGAATCATCCCCTCAAGTCTGTTTAGAAAAGGACACTTCTGGGAGTATCAATCCCATGCGCCCCACAACACTCACCGATTCCTCCTGCTGATCTCCACCTTACTACTGTGTCTCAAGCTAAATATTTACACTATTCTTAATTTTCTATTTCAATTTAATTTCAATTTCCACAACAGTTTTGCTTTTATGTAAACATTGCAATAGTATTGATAACTCAAACATGTATAAAAACTGGAACAGACAGAATATGGAGCAGTTGCCTGTGGCAACCAATCAGCTTCTCTCTTCAGTTTGCTTAGTTAAGCTTTGAAAATGAAAGATAGAAGCTGATTGGTCACGATGGGAAACTGTTCCAAATTCCATCTGGTGCAGTTTTGATAAATTCCGCCGACGATACTTTCTCTTAAAAGGGACTGTAAAGTGGTTTTTACTTATTATGGACAGAACTAAAAAAAAGAAGAAAAATAATAGAAAATTTAAAATACATGGCAACAGTATGCAGTCTCCTGTACAGCCAGCAGATGGAGGTCTAGTCTTCTTTTCACATAGTGAGCTATTTTAGCTTTCAGCTGTACTGAATGAAGCCTGCTGTTCACAGAACTCAATAGGGCCACTTTACAGGTACTGTAGCTGCTGACTTAAAGAAAAACACATACCTACCAGTACAAGAATTCCAGTGCCTTCCTATCAACTGAAGACTTGACAGCTATTTTTGTTCCTGCCCCTCTATCTTGGATTCAGAAACCTTGACTTTCTGATCACTCACATCCAGCCCAGTACGGTGCAAGCACTAGATCTATCAACTGGAGGAAACTGTCCTGAAACCTCCTGGGATGTGTGACATGTATCAATACTATAATAGCATTGATAACTCAAAATATGTGTGCACTCAATATACGCAAAATGTATCAAAACTGGAGCAGACAGACCATGGAGCAGTTGGCCATAGCAACCTATCAGCTTCTCTCTTCAGTATGTTTAGTTAATCTTTGAAAATGAAAGATAGAAGCTGATTGGTCACTATGGGACACTGCTCCAAATTCCGTCTGCTCCAGTTTTGATAAATTCCCCCCAATATACTATTATTCATCTATTCATCTATTGGGTGAAGTCGATGGACGTGTGTCTTTTTTTAGCCTGGCAAACTATGTGATTGTGAGTAAAAGTCTGCTTTAACTTACTTTACAATGGTCACAATGACAAACAGAGGGGGTGATTCTCCCAAGTAGTGACACTGACAGCAATATAAACTTAGCAGGGGGTATAACCTTTCCACACTCTATACAACACTATGAGAAAAAGTTTTACCTTTACATACACCCTAACATCTGGCATGCTGGTATCTGTTGATCCCTGGCATTACCCTTGCTTAAACTGACGCAATAGTTGCAAAAATTATTCTTTCATGATATAATAATCATGGTTTAGTTTTCCTTTACCATGAATCCTGCTTTGTTTTAGCAGAAACCTTTACTATTGGGTCATGAACGATGAAATGGTTAAAATTTGCCTGAAGCCACAAATTACAGCAGTATAGAGACATTGTCTGGAAAATGCATTAGAGGTGATTTCTTTTCAAATATATATTTTCACTTAATGCCTCAGCATATTTCCACTATGATCTCAGCTCTCCTTTTTTTCCCACAAAAGCAGTGTTATCATGTTACACAGTAGCTCTGAGGGATGTGTGTATCAATGGATTGTACATTTCAAAAGCTTGGGCCTCTAGAGAGGTCTCCCATGGCAAGAACACATGGTTCTCATTTGGAGTAGAATGGAAGGAGGCATAGACCAGACATGGAGACAGCATGGGGTCTTGTGGCTAGAACATTTATATTCATTTCTCAGTCAAACTTCCCTCTTTACTTAAGGCAGGAAGTTTGCTGAAGTAGAATGGTCTTTGGATTTGCTGATTAGGGCAGGAAATAATGACATGCAAGACATAGCCATCAAATACCTTAAGGGTCGTTCACACCAGTGGTTTTTTAATGCACTTTTCTTGTATGTATGGAAACAACATTACAGTTTAAAATCCATTAGACTATACTCACGCCGATCTGGTAGCACTAAGCTTTATGTGCAATTAAGGATGCATGGAATTCTCATTATAGTTAAAGAAAATGAAAGGCTTTTTTTCTCATTTGAAAAGAATGATGAGGCGTTAGAACGCATGACAGGTTTTTAATTATTTGTACATTTGAACCGGAAAAGAGCGCCAAAAATTATTTTATTATTCTGTCAGTGACAAGCAAAACAAAAAGCTGCCAAAGCGTTTCAGAGGCCAAACAATACCCCTTCATCAGGGCTTCAGCTATTATCAAAAAGGTTTATGGACTAAAACATTCCTGGATATATCAATCAAAGCCAGGAGAATATGTTTCTGTAATCAGCAGCAGAGCAACCTGAGTTTCAAGCTGCTCTGCTGCTGATTACAAGCATTCATTCTGCTGGCATTGATTGATATACAGTATGCTGGATTTTTTTATTCTGACAGGGCTATTGACTAAGGGGTGAAGAGTTTGGAGAAGGCAGGAGAAGTGAACAATCCAGGACAACATAGCTGAACGGGAAAGTGAGCTGAATTGGAGAATGTTTTAAAATCAGCTATTTGGGCCTTGATTTTTCACTTATCCTGCCTTCTCCAAACTCTTCACCCCTTAGTCAATAGCCCTGTCAGAATAAAAAAATCCAGCATACTGTATATCAATCAATGCCAGCAGAATGAATGCTTGTAATCAGCAGCAGAGCAGCTTGAAACTCAGGTTGCTCTGCTGCTTTGCTCTGCAGCCTTTAGTCAATAGACCTGTGAATCTATAATCCATTGTGGTGGTCTTTCAGGGTTCAATCTTTCGGCATTTAGCCGAAAGTGCCATTTTCGGCCGGTGCCCCCCCTTCACTTTTCGCCTGGGGCCGGCGCCCCTGCTGCCCCCCCCGGTTGTTACGCCACTGCCCTGTCCCATTTTGTGCACAGCTCCTGAACCTAAGCTACTTTGCTCAGTTAAGGGCATATTTTCTATTGGTTGATGAGCCATATCCAGTGCCTCATTCCCACCTTTCGTTTTATTTCTGTCCATGTCCATGCTGGGGAGATTCATACTCTCTTTTTTTCCTGATGACCATTGTCACCGGGACTCAAAGTGAGGGAGTTACATTTTCATTTGTCACTGGAACAGAAATAGTAGAGAAGTCTTCTGATAATCACAACAATCCATGAGAGGCTTTTCCTTATTTTAGAGCGATCTCTTCTCACTTGCTGTTGTGTCTTGAGAAATGAAAGAAAAATTTCCCAACGGCACACAGACAGAAAAAAAATAATATATATATATATATAGTTTTGGCTTTAGATGTACTTTTATTTTTTCCTCAAACTACTGGCATTATGGTGTGCTCAAAGAGTACTTTTTCATAGTGCAGTTATGCTGGGGGCAATATTAACAGTACAAATTGTGCTCAGTGTGGTCCTTTTCTGTGTGCCATAATTTGTTTTAAAACCATGTGTTTGGGCAGCCATTTTTACATGCATAAAGTGCACCTGTGCCTAAACTATGGGCATTAAAGAATTTACATACTCTTTACAAGCAGTAAAACAACTTTAACAAAAGGATCCCTGACCCCTCTAGCTACTTGCACTATGAATCAATTCACTCTCAAAGATTTCAACAATGACTCTAAAGTTGCATTTTAGTCATTTTCTTACAGCTTGGAAATGCCTGCTGTGTGTTTTCATTAGATAGCTACAACAATAGAAAGTTAGGGAAAAGGAGATACGACTCCAGTGCCCCTGTTGTGAAGTTTGAATATTAATATTAATTAGAAAACAGTATCATATTCTAAGATTCTAAGGGTTTTATCTGCCAATGAAGTAGTTATTTTAGGGTATAACAATTATTTTGCATACTAATGTTTTCCTTGTGCTTTATTCAATGCATTAAAAGAGGAGCTTTCAAGATTCATCGAAGCTTGTTTGTTTTGTATGGAGTTCAATCGGTTAGGGCCCGTTCACACATGATGAGTTGGGGCTGTGCTGGGCATTATTTCCAGCTCAGCCCTAACTCAAGAAAAGGCAATTTGCCCTGTTCCAGGAGGGCTTGGTTCACACCACCACGTTACCGTGGTATGCATTGAAAAAAGTATGACATGCAGTACTTTTTTTTGCAGCGCACCACAGTGAGGCATGGTACAACCGCATCGCACCATAGAACTTTATGGATTGTCACTTGTGACATTTCAATAAAAATCAAAAAAAAAAAAAAAGAAACAGGCAGTGCGATGCATCTCGATCTAGCACATCAGCACTGTACTGGGCACCCGCACACCAGCAACCATGTGGTACAGCACGGTTGCTGGTGTGAACAAGACATTAATGTGAACATGTTCATTAATCACCAGATCAACTGGGCAATAAAAAAAAACAGAGAATTTATTCCTCATCCTGTTGAGAGTATCATGTTATATACAAGAAAAGATAAGACCACATTACTGGAATTTTTCCAGAATTGCAGCACACATATATAATTGTATTACAAGCTATATGTAGCTCATATGTGAAATGGCACACATGACATGATATCATGGGGATAGGCAGCTATCGTGTAATACAATTATGCCCAAGCTTGTATATCAAAATGTATTTTTTACTAGGAATTCCATCCACTGTTTCACATATACAGTGTATCTACCTGTGATGGATAGTATGTTCACTTAAGAATGTTTAATAGTTTGTTCATATTGTAAAAAATTATATTTAATAAATATCAGATGTAATATAGAGAACACATTTGTTATAATGCGATCAGGAAAAAAGTAATGCTTACATGGTTAAAAAACAATACATTTAAAGCAGACCCTGCAGTAAATTTCAAGGTCTCCTAATAATGTCCCAGCTCCCTGCCCTGTAAAGAATGCTGACTGATACCGTAGAATTTCCAAAATGTAACTGTAAAGAGTAATGCTAGATTACATAGTTACCTTATTCCCATCTTCCATCTGCGGCACTTGCTTGGGTTATGCCATGCTCCTTCCAACAAGATCCAGCAGAAATACAGAGCAGCCCAAGTCTCAGAAGCAGATGCTCTTTCACTGGATTGGAGTGTCTTCTAATGAGATTTGGGATTCTCGTTATTTCTCAGGAATATTCCTGGAAGAATGGTGATCTCATGCACAGCAATGTGAAAGATGGGGGTGAGTTAAGTATGCATCTAACTTTTTTCTATACAGGTACACTTTGGAAATACTATCAGACAGTGATCATTATAGGGAGAGGGGACACGGACACTACAAGCGGACCTTACATTTTACTGCAGGGTCCGCTTGCACAACTTTTACTAAACTTATTGACACTTTTGTAAAACATTCCAATAATTAATTTATAGAAATTTAGACAGCAGAAGGGTTGTGTTATATACAGCATATTGTATACAGTGTTTTATTTATTTTTCTGCTTTCGTATATATAAGACAGCAAACGCTACTTTTTTTGCTGTGTGCACACAGCAAGACAAAGAATATCCTAGTAATTCCAATATGTATATGTCACTAATTGTTTTGTCTTGCTTTATCATCAGCCAAGACAAAGATAATCCTGTTAATCCCAATCTCTATTATCAAATGAAAAACATCATTAATTCTCACCTCATCCACTTGGGGGTCCTGAGCTTGGGGCAAAAGGTGTGCTGGCTTGTCACAGTCCGTCATGTAATGTTCACAGTAGTCATACGCAGCTTTGGGGTCATCAATAATCAGAAGCTGCTGGATGTCCCCCTGTAAAAAATTAATTACATACAAGTTTGTTATTACTTTTCACGGACTCAAAACAGAAACATAAGAACGATAGGAGGTTATCCTGTCTGAATTACACTTAAAATACTGACCGAAGACGTTTACAATCATGGCATAATCTCACAACCTTCTCCATTTTTAAAAAAGGCCTACACATATTGTACAAGCAAGAATTGTAATGCACAGAAAGGGAATACTAAAATGCAAAACACCTGCAGCATGTAAATATCCATCACAGAGAACTGAGCACCAGTAACTGCACACAATGAAAGCTGAATTTTAAATCTTTCATGGAAAACTTTACCTAGTTTGTTTTTCAGCCTCTGTAATTGTTATTGCTCTCTGCATTTGCAACGCATGATATACAGGACCAGCACTGTGCCGTTGAAGGAGAATGATTTCAGATGTTAACCAAATAGTGCCACCACGTGGTCAGTGTAGAGAAACATTCTCTAACTGTGCAGGGGTCTTTGGTTTCAAATCTATTTTGACAAAAAAGGCTAAAAGGATATCTTTCATAGCCCAACTACTGGAAAATAAACCCTCTACCAGACTTGATAATAATGGAGCAGAGATTCTAAATTAGTTTACATGTTTTGTAAAGTTCCTCATGCCCCAAAACCAAAAAGGAAGTACTTTTTCACTTTCCAGGACACCTACAGCTAAATATATTTATGTATTTCCATTTTCTCAAACAACACTCTAAAAACGTTTCCCATGTCTCCTGGTCAATATGAGAATCACATACACAGGCTGATGTAGGGTTTTACAATTTCACACACATCGACCAATGTATATGACTCCATTTATTTAATACCCAGAAGATATCTTGGTATTGAATGCTAAGAATGACCTGTATATGAGATGAATATTGACAGAGAAAGACTGATGTGACCTTTTGCTACAGATAACTGGCATCTTTGGTGATCAGTATTATCCCAACATGCTATAGGAATATAGAATGTTTACTTTTGCTAATATTCAGTTAACGTTCTACATAATGGGAAGCTGTGGACACCTTGTGAATACCCAATGATGTACATTTCACATGCACCATCTTGTATATCATTGGATGGTTGAAGTGAACACGGCTTCACCTTATTCATTAAGATATTGGAATATTCAATTTCCGAAGTGAACAGTCTCTACTCCTTTAGTAAATCAATGAAGATACAATGTGTACACATTTTATGTGCTACTCTGTTAGAATCCTTGATGCTGTTTTTTTTTTGGAGAAATGAATGTCCTCTTTGAAATTACAACCATCCCACTTTTTTCTTAAAGGTAAAAAATCAGTACTGGAATACAGGAGCTGACACTACTGATTTGTTTTTAAATCTAAAGTTCAGCACTGGTGTATGTAGCACCAGGGACATAACCTATCTCTATTTATGTGTGTTCCAACTCCTGCTGGCTGCTATTTAGTGTAGAAATCTTCCCTCTGCTGATGCAGGATTCTCCCCACAGCGCTGCTGTTTTGGCACCGTGGGCATTAAGATAGTGACTGTGACTCATCTGTGTCACTCACCCTCTGCTTCCTCCTCTTTCGCCCATTTATAGAATTCATAGTATTCTTCACTGGAATGCAAAGTATTCTGTGATTGGAGGAGGCAGATTCTGTTGCTGTGTCCTCCATTCACAGAATGCTTTGCATTCAGGGAAAGAATACTAAAAGTTCCATGAATGGGCAAGAGAGGAGGAAGGGGAGGGTGAGCAGCACTGATAGTTAACAATTGCTGCTAATGATGTTAACCCCCACAGCTCCAGAAGGGAGCATCCAGAGTCAGCAGAGGGAAGATTTCTACACTAAGCAGCAGCCAGGTGAGCCATCATTGCATGGGAGACACTTCATTAGAGGTAAGTTATGTCTTTAGTGCTACATACAGAAAAACAGTTAACCAGCTGTAAAGAAGAACTTTACCCAGATCTTCAAAATAAAAACAACGGCGCCTTTAGAAATGTTTAGTAATGACAATCTACAAACACACACTTATAGACATTTGCAGGCTTTTTATTCGTTGCATACCTTGTTTTCTTTTCCTCCCTATTCTTCTCACAGTGGTCATTTTTACTAAAGGCTGACAAATCCATCTCCCTTTACTTCCTGGAACTCTGGCACATGTGACTAGTACATGGGACCATTCATATCATCTCAGGGGAGGAAAATGCCTTTCCCTGAGATCTTGTGAGATTACCGATTAGATTTTCCAGCAATGCCCTGCTGATGTAAGCTTCCCAGGATGCAATACGTGGCCACATCACATCACTTTTGCCAAAGAGAACCAGGACGTAGAAAACAAGAAATTGTAAGTAAAATGAAAATATGTTTGTTTAACTAATGAATGTAAGAAGGTTTCATATGCATGTAAAGCTGCCTGCTGATGTGATTTTTATCCAAAGTAGGTAAAGGTCCACTTTATAGATATATGCATCAAGATCATCATCCTGATCCTTGCCATACTACTTAATGAATCATTGACCTGGAACAAGCATACAACCAGAGAAGTGGTTGACATGCTTTTTCTGGGTTGGCAGTGCACCCCTATTTCTATTCTACCAGGTTCCTTTTAAAGCAGTCCAGCATGTTAGGCACACATTGTTATAGATGGAAGGAATTGTAACAATATACAACAGTATACACAACAAATTCTATATCAAAACTTTGATCTTTTAGACTACCAAAATAAAGTTATAAAGCACTAAAATGTGTTCTCCAGCTGTAGTGTTTTTGCTGCTCAGACAGCATTTGATTTTACTTATTATCTGATTTTATTCTTATCTATATAAGTTTCTCTGACACCGGCTGAATCCAAAGTCAGTGAATGATTTTCCTATCTTTGTTATCAATCAAACTTTAAGAACCAGCTGTCATTTTCAACTTTATCTTGCAGTAAACTTTCTAGATCTTTCTCTCATTGTGTCTCTAAAATCAGCCCTTAAAGCAAATCAAATCTTAACCCTTGCAGCAGAGCTATCTCTGCACTGCAAGGGTTAAGTGCTCATTTTGTCTAGGGAGCTAAAATAACAACGGTATACTCACCTGAAGCACAATCCCGACTTGATCTTAAGCTGGCCATACACCTATAGATTTTCTATGATGGCTGAGAGGACATTAGACTGCTGGTATGTAGGGGAAGGGACTGGTCTAAAGCTGGCCATAAACCTATAGATTTGGCACTTTTCGATTTTTTTCTATCAGCATATGGTCAGATGGAAAAAGTGCAATAGTTTCCTCCATCTATGCTAAAATGTGTGGATGGAGGAATCTCCAGCTGGACCAAGCTTCAGTATCTTGCTAGTAGGTCTCACTGGCTCTCAAAATACCTGAACAATCTGACTGGATGCAGGCATTGTTCAGGTATTTTGAGAGCCAGCAGGGTCGACTAGCAAGATACTGAAGCTAGGCCCAGTGAGAGATTCCTCCATTCACACAGTTTAGTGTAGATGGAGGAATCTGTTGCACTTTTTCCATCGGACTATAGGCTTATAGAAAAAAATCGATAGAAGATATATAGGTTTATGGTCAGCTTTAGACCAGTCCCTTCCTCTACACACCAGCAGTCTAAGGTCCTCTCAGCCATCACATGCAATACAGTGCATAGAACATGAGGCTGCGGAGGTACATTCCATCACTGGAGCGGAGGGTACGACGAGCTGGAGGGAGCAGTGTAAGAGCCAGCCAGGACCGTAGTTCAGGTGAGTATAACTTTGTTATTTTAGCTCGCTAGGCAAAATGAGCACTAAACCCTTGCAGTGTGTGTGTGTTTGCGGGGGGAGGGGGAGTAGCCCCACTGCAAGGGCTGAGATTTGATATGCCTGGAGTTGTGCTTTAAAGAAAGCCTGTGTAATGTGGAGGCCACTCTTTCTGAACTCTTTCCATAGAAACCTGGTGCTTGGCTGTCAGGCTGATCTCTAGCTTTATTCAGTTTAGGGGACCAGAAAAAGTGTAAAGTATAAAGTGTAGTCAGAACTCCCCATCTGTATAGTCTGTCATTGTATTACAAATCATACAAGCTCGCTTTTACACTGCTTTATTACATAGTGGTGTTCACATATCAAATATGACATATATAACAAACATGCAGCGCATACAGAATTAGACTGAAATTGACAATATAGCCAAGGAAAAAAAAACATAAATTCTAGTACTTGCCATGCCTAAGGATTCATTGCTTATACCCTTCATTTATACTAGCAATGAAAGTGTATTCGAATAAAAAAATTAAGATTTCCAATCCTACAGGGAACATCGAGAAATGTTAATTGTGCCTAAGCAATATTCTGAAAAAAAATCTACATTCTGTCTTAAATCCCTTTTAAATACTAGCTGTGTACTTCTAGACATGTGAATGTGTCTAGGCACTTTTGTTCTAATAGCAGCAAGAGACTGTCTAAAACTGGCCATACACCTATAGATTTTCGATAGGAAATTTTCGTTGCTGCCAAGAACCCATGTTCGATTCTAGTTCTAATAGCCCATCAAGCACAGACAAATGTCAATCTCAATAATCGTTCGTTAGCAATACTAACTCATCAAATTTTGTCGAAATTTTGAAATTGGGAGGCTCTGATGTAAAGATAATCTTCTAATGTAAAGGGGGACTCCTGGTGTAAAGGGGACTTTGTTGTGAAAGGGAGAATTCTTATTTGAAGGTGGTAATTTGATGTAAAAGGAGCCCACCTTTTTGTGTTTTTCTGTGGGGTCCCCCCTTAAAATGTATTAGATTTTAGACCAGGGTGCTTTGAGATTTTGCATACTTTAAAAGTGTGCTGTGACTGAAAAAAGGTGAAAGTAGAAATGCTGGTCTGAGGCACTGCTGCCTCTGTGTCTCACAACATTTAGGGTGATGTCTCTACTGTGCTGCTTACTGTTGGGCGTTCTGGAGAGAAAGCTGTATTTGAATCTGAGGTGTTGCAGTGCAAGTATCCCCCTGTTTCTACTTTATTAATTTTTTAGATCTGTGCTTTCTTCACATCTCCTG